AGCCTGTGGTGGGGGAAACACGGTAATTGTTATATGAGAAAATATATTGTATCAAAAGACACTCGAAACGATCATGAAAAATTATGTTACGGGTAAAACAGTTGTACGGGTAAGCTGGTTGTAAATAACGAACCCCAATAACAATCCCGATAAATCAATGCCCCGTCAAGGTGTTATCCTCGCAGTTCGTTCACCTGTGTAAAAATCAACAACTCTCGACAACTCACCTAGCTCGTTTTTTTATTAGTGTTGTCAAGGACGTTTTGCCTACATACCACACGAAGTACAGTATAAGGGCTAGCCACAAGTAGGTCTGGGTAACCGGCGTGCTTCTTGACCCACTTTCACGTTTACCTGTCTGGGGAAATATGTCCATCAGTAATCGATGGTGAGGTGTATGTAATGTCGGAGATGAGGTGATTGAGATCAGAGCCATGTCTGTAGGCTGGTCAAAGGGGCTGGTCAAAGGGTCTGTTCATTACAGCCTGAATTTTGAAAGACGTTCCATACGAGACTGGGAGGGAGTTCGGGTGGTCCAATCGTCCAAGACGACGTGAAATGTGCGGAGTTGCGTCCCTTTGTGTGTTATTATTGAGTCAGTGCACGTGTTACCCTTTTCAGGAACACCCGGTGAATCCTATTCACGGAGTGAGATAATCAGTGATCTTCCAAGCGAGTGAGTTGGTTATGAATGATGAAAGAGTTGGATAGTAAATCAATGAAATGGAGAGCGAGGTTTGAATGAGTGATGGACCGGATCGTCGGTCCATGAGTGAGTGAATGAATACATGAAAGAGTGACTGAATAAGTTACTGACTGAGTATTTCGCTTGGGAGAATGCTGCTTTAAAACGAACGTATACTAGTGGTGTTACCATATTACCACTGTACAATTGTTGTTCTTGTAAGATAAGGGGGTGGTGGGGTAGCTTCCTGGTTAAGGCGTTCGCTTCCGGGTTCGATTCCCGATATGAGTATCTTTGTAAGAAGCCCATTTCTTAAGTCCCCCACTGTCATATTGCTGGAGAATTTGCTTAAAGCGGCGCAAAACCTCACTCACTGGGGCGGTGGGGTAGCCTAGTGGTTAAAGCGCTTGCTCGTCAAGCCGAAGACCTGGGTTCGATTCCCCACATGGGTACAATGTGTGAAGTTTATTTCTTGTGTCCCCCGCCGTGATATTGCTGGAACATTGCTTAAAGCAGCGCAAAACCTCACTCACTCACTCGAAAGATAAGGTCAGGCAGTGTCATCCAACTCCATATATCCATGAGACATGAGAGGAGGGGCGAGGCCTTTCTTTATAAAACAATAATTTGTAGATTTTTCTGTTTGAACATTTAAGTCAAGCACATACACCATCCAAAGGCATCGAAAGCCTTTCACACAAATCCATTGGCGTGTCGACTGTAAAACAGTGCAGGTTTGCAGATAAATGCACTTTCCTTTCGCGCGCCAAGTCAGGTATGTGCACTATGCATCAAAATATAGTTTGCGTAAAGTTTTCAGTTTGCAAGTCGGAAGTGGGATTAAGTGAAACTTCAAGCGAATAACAAAACTGACAGCTGACGAAGAAACTGAGCTATCGCAGTATTCCCAAACAGATGTTTCCTAGCCAAGGAAACAAACTACTTTGGATAATTGTGTTAAATAACATAATGTAGGGAACGAGTGAGTGAGTTTAGTTTTACGCTTTTAGCAATATTCCAGCAGTATTACGGCGGGGGACACCAGAAACAGGCTTCACACATTGTACCCGTGTGGGGAATCGAACCTGGGCCTTCAACGTCACGGGCGAACGCTTAAACCACTAGTCTACCCCACCGCCGCTGTAAGAAACGAGGTTAAATATACGTTGTTTACATTCCAAAACGTTTCTGACACGTCAACGTGAATTGTTTTGGCAAGTAAATAATAGTAATTAAGGCCTATGGCTGGTATTTTAAGTCGTTGTATTTATATAAATCTTGGCGTGAGAAAAAAGTTGACAATGATATCTAACAAATATTTCATCTTTAATTCACAACACCTTCCCTGGTCAACTATACCTTATCCCCGTCATACTACAATAGGAAATAGCGCCAAAAACAAAATATACACTGTTCAAAAACAGAAACGCAAAATGAAATTTGAAAGTAATGATCGAAAGCTTGAACGCATATGTCAAATTAAACATGTTTTGAGGGTTCAATATTGTTGTTGGTATGGTTTAGAAGAACGCAACCATAAACGATTTTGATTGGTTTTATCGATCACCATTGTCATTATCAGCTAGACTGTCATGGAACACAACCAAAATCCGCAATTATTGCTTTTCACGTGCCCAGCATGAGCACAACCTATGACTATGAAAGACCCAGATGCATCACGCAAATTCACCAAAGATCTTTGCTAATATTGTACCCATGAGAAAAACCCGGGACGTCTCAAGGGCGCGCGACCGAACATCTGTGGGATCTGACTATGAAAGACCCAAATGAACATCTGTGGATCAGATCAATAAACGGGTACGACGGTCGACGTCGTAATCCGCCACTGACCCTTGGCGACAGTTGTTCAACATGCTGTTTGTGGAGGAATGGAGAAGACCGCGAGTTCCACAACAAAACACCCAACAACTAATTCGATCTGTGCCAAGGAAGTGTCGGATTGCAGTTCTGACAGTAAGATCGATGGTCATACGAGGTACTAATCCGCTATTGATCAACGCCACCTCGTGGACAGCAGTGATGACTATGATGAGAGGTCATTCTGCCATAAGAGTGAAATGTGCACGGGATACCAATATATTGCTCTACCAATATATTGCTCTACAAAATGTCAATGCTGTACCGTTGATCTTCAATGATTTACATTGTAATTGAATAAGACCAAATTTTTCAATGATATTTTTCTTTTGCGTTTCCTGTTTTGAAGAGTGTAGAAACTTTTTAACCGTACTATGCTCTTTTTAACAATTTGTTTCAAAAGTCTCATAAATGTCCCATTCTTGCGTCGCGCTTGACACTTCAAACACGCAAGCACACGGATATTACTCTTTTCATACCAAATTAAGCATTCATGCATGCGGATATTTGCCGTTTATTTCGGTTTGTGGGCCATAGTGCCTATCTCCGGTGTTCACAGACTCGTGACATGCATTGCATGCTGCTCATTTCAGTCGATCAAACCCCTGCACATGCACTGATATCCGCTCCCTGAAGCATAAATCCAACACATGGCATGTCGATTTCACAGTTTTTCCATGAATAACAAACATGTCTAACGCCCATAATATCCAAAATGATAAATTGTGTTATGCATTAAAATTGTAAATATCGAATTAGCGACGTTGGCTAAATGATGTATGGAATATGGTGAAACATATCAGGGACGGTATGCAATAACCATACGAGGATTACCATTAAGTTACTCCTTCAAGAAATGCATACAGATGTTCCGTCGATATCATATTTCGCGAAACACATCAAGGCATCTGCATTAGGCATTCAGTAAACTTTTAGAAATAACGCCCTTGGAGTTCAAAGACTCACGTCAATATGCATGGGAAACATACATGTCAACTGCTGCGCAGTCATTCTTACGTAGCGGTGATTTCTTCTGATTATGGAACCAGTTTCGTCGTCTTACTATAAAACATGTTGACTGACAGGTACATATTGCATCTGCAGCATGTACATTTCACCGAGGGTGAAATGCACGTCGGTCCGTTGTGATGAGAGTTTTGAGCCAAAACTTGAACCAATCAGTTTTCGACATGCACAAGTGGGTGTTTCCCCTTCTTGACTTTCTATACTTCTTTTTGAAAAACAAAAAGGAAACTTTGACATCTGACGGGTGACAGGTGGCACGTGTTTTCTCCATAGACATTGTTAGTTTCTGTTACTGCTGATATGCCAGTGTGCTCACTTCGGGAACATGTAATTGACCTGCCTAACTTCCTGGGTACAGAGCATGGCGTGCTCTGGTTTCTTCACAGGATTTGTTTGTTGATTTTGTAGCTGTCTTGATTGATATTCCATATTCCAGTAAAAACGTCCATACTCGTCGGCTCGTTATTATGAATAGACTCACTGTAGTACATGTACAAAGTTCACCATCGTAGGATATGACATTTTCATTGCAATTTCAAATTAAATAAACACTGTTTAGTGTCAGGAATCATTCGGTGTCATGACATCATTAGCTGCTTGTCCTGATGGGGCAATTATTGTTCTATTCCAAACCAAAAATACCACAGTGTTAAAGAGGAGACATATAAGATTGACATATAAGTGGGAAAAGAAAGGAGCGTGTATGTGTTTTTCACCGTTAGATATTTTACCGTTAAGGATCTGACTTTGTATTAACCGACCTGTGCCTTCGTGGTATCCTAATCTAACAGTGAGTGAGTTAAAATGTATACGTCGCGTCTGCATGTTTTCAGCCATATATTGACGATATCAAGTTCCTACATATACACAAGTTCATCATAAATACAGGTTATATATAAAAGAAAACTCTAACAAATTTATCTAATCTATTCGCAAGAACAGGGTTTTATTCATATTCATATTAAAGGTAGTCATTGATCACTCAAACAGATCGCTGCATTATACTAAAGGGGGGCGGTGGGGTAGCCTAGTGGTTAAAAGCGTTGGCTCGTCACGCCGAAGACCCGGGTTCGATTCCCCACATGGGTACAATGAGTGAAGCCCATTTCTGGAGTCCCCCGCCGTGATGTTGCTGGAATATTGCTAAAAGCGGCGTAAAACCAAACTCAGTCAGTCAGTTTATACTACAGCGTGCGCGTGGCTTACCTTAACGTGCTAAGGCTTTGTACAAATGCATCTTAAGTGGTACATATAACACTGGTACTTTCTGAAGAAAGGGGATTAGATTGTGACGTATTTATGTCACGTGGTACTGTAGGTCTTCGAGCCTTTGTATATAGTTCGATAGCTTCCTTTAACCGTCCCTAGACCTCACACTGACATTTTGCTGATGTTATTTCCTCGTTTACAGACCCGTGCCATGAAGGTCGGTACCGCGTCATTGACGACTACCGCCGCTACATCAACTACGTCACAGACGAGAAGGGGGACAAGCTGTGCGACATCGGGCTGGACATAGGCTGGTACAGATTCATGGTCAATGGGTCTAACGCCGTCATGGCCAGCAAGTGTGTACAGGTAATTGATTAACATATAAGACTTTATGATATAGTAAACCCGTGCAGATCCGGGTTAGAATTGGCCTTCAGTAACCCATGCTTGTCGTAAGAGGCGACTAACGGATTCGAGTGGTCACCCTCGCTGAATTCGTTGTCATTGTATCCCAATTATGTAGATCGATGCTCATGCTGTTTATCACAGGATTGTCTGGCTCAGCCGCCATTATTTACAGACTGCCACCATATAGCTGGAATATATCAGAGTGCGACGTTAAACAACAAACAAACAAATAAATATGATATGATATGATAAGCGATTTGGAGTTTTAAGGCCTGTAAGAACTGTTATCCACGGCGCGCCAGTGGTTTGTTTGCCATACTGGACCTTCGAGCCTTTGGATATCGCTCGATAGGTTCCTTTAACCGTCTCTAGATCTCACACTGATGCATTTCCGTTTACCATACTGGTGAACAGATTTTTAGAATTTGCTACCTATTTACTGACGCGCCACGATGTAGTGATTGAGTATTGTTTTACGCCGCTTTTAGTCACAATCCAGCAATATAAAGACTCTAGGAACCTCAGGCAAGGCCTCAAATATTTTACCCATGTAGTGAATCTAGTGCTGTACGCAATTTGGGGAACCGAACTCGGTCCTTCGACATGACGAACGAACGCTTTAACAAGTAGGCTGCCAAGCTGCTAGTGCCACGATGGAACTGAAATACCTGATTAAAGTGGCATGATGCCTTCAAGATGCTTCTCTGACCAAGCTTACCATGGTATCATTAAGATAACGAAATGCGCGTCAACCTTAGATTAGAACAAGACCTAGACATTGAACCTTGTCACGGAGATGAGGAGTGTATCTGCCCCATCACGGACATCCGTCAGCTCCTGACAGACATAGCACTGAAGAATGCGGATGTATGTGGGCTTATGTATGACGGAGTAACCGTCTGGCCCCAAACTCAGTGTCTGGTGTGGGAAGGGATGAGAAATACAGAGACAGCCTCAGCCGTAGGTGGGATGGCAGGATATTTGTGACATTATCTCATAATCACACGTTTCAGTGCTTACACCATCAAAACATATTGCAGGGTTAAAATAGAAGGTGTAGTGTTCTTTGTTTGTAATGTAAGAAGCGTGTATCTGAAATACGATCAGAAGGTAATGGCGCTGTTCTGTGTGTGATTGTTGCACTAAGCAATCTTTCAGTTTATTGAAAGCGAGTTAGAAATAACTCAGTTTAGACAAGACAATCCATTGATTGCCACGAGCAGCGGTCCACGTCGTCGGACACGATGGCAAACAAGTCACCGAGCCTGCATATTCGATCAGTTAAGTCTCCTCTTAAAGCTGGTTGCTGGGGACAAGCCTGACCATTCGATCAGTTAAGTCTCCTCTTAAAGCTGGTTGCTGGGGACAAGCCTGACCACTCGATCAGTTAAGTCTCCTCTTAAAGCTGGTTGCTGGGGACAAGCCTGACCACTCGATCAGTTAAGTCTCCTCTTAAAGCTGGTTGCTGGGGACAAGCCTGACCACTCGATCAGTTAAGTCTCCTCTTAAAGCTGGTTGCTGGGGACAAGCCTGACCACTCGATCAGTTAAGTCTCCTCTTAAAGCTGGTTGCTGGGGACAAGCCTGACCACTCGATCAGTTAAGTCTCCTCTTAAAGCTGGTTGCTGGGGACAAGCCTGACCACTCGATCAGTTAAGTCTCCTCTTAAAGCTGGTTGCTGGGGACAAGCCTGACCATTCGATCAGTTAAGTCTCCTCTTAAAGCTGGTTGCTGGGGACAAGCCTGACCACTCGATCAGTTAAGTCTCCTCTTAAAGCTGGTTGCTGGGGACAAGCCTGACCACTCGATCAGTTAAGTCTCCTCTTAAAGCTGGTTGCTGGGGACAAGCCTGACCATTCGATCAGTTAAGTCTCCTCTTAAAGCTGGTTGCTGGGGACAAGCCTGACCACTCGATCAGTTAAGTCTCCTCTTAAGACCAGTTGCCGAGGACCTTGATTCTTACGGTGTCCCCAGTACTTAACTGACGTTTCTGCCACAAACCTAATTTTGTGGGATGAAAACGTTATTTTGCCGTAGAATGGAACATATTTGGGTTGAAAACATTCAAAGCTGCGAGAACATTTAAGGATGACACACTGAAAAATGTCACGTATTTGGCGGAGGATAGTCTAGGCTCACAACTCAACAACATATTGATCAAAGGTTCCTAATTTGTCAAAGCCTAAAAAGTCTTCCGTTGATGAGTGGTTAACATGCTCTAAGGATTGTCTTGGCTGAAAATAGAACAACAACTTACCATTACCAAATTGTGAAATACCTTAGCGTACCTTCTTGCACAAGAGTCGTATATGATCAGGAAAGAAAAACAACCAAAATGCCCCCAACGTGGAACAACGCACACAGTTTTCGGTTCTTTTGGAACTTGTTGCAGTATATAATCCCTAAACAGCATTTGAAACTTGTCGGTGGTTAAAAGCTATGCCGTCATTTGAAATGAAACCTAAATGAAAAAGCCAAGCGGTATTCGTACCATCTGAAAGTTAGCAGATTCTGTAGAAGGCCACACGCCATCGACGCGTGTTCTTGAAGGAAGGCACGCCAAGTCAACGGTCTGAAACGGGATACCATGCCAGAAGTTCTCCTTTTTCTGTTCACGACAAACAAGACTGAACACACATTTTAAACTATATCTTAAACTTTATCTTAAGGTTTTTGTTAGGAGGTAATAAGTCTGACACTGGGAATCGTTAAACTGTTTACAGTAAGCAGAGCATAAACACAAGTGTGTTCCCCTCATTCCGAGCGTTAAATAGTGGTGAGGAAGTATATATCTCCCCAATACGTGTGTTCAACAACACTACCGGACTAAACACTACCGGAGTACACTAGATCTTGACTCCCAAATTACAAACGTTGTTCAAACGTTTCTGGGGTGGTAAACAAAGCAAAGCTGAAATACAAGCAACAATGACGATACCAATCATATGAGCATCATCATTTATTATGTATAGATGTTACGACATGTGTAACAATTAGACAAAACCGTGCATATGCGCCACACTGAAAATATAGATCTTATTACATCAAGAACGTTGATTATATTCACAGATTTATTTCGATCGAAGAACAATCACTTTTAAGAAAGATACAAAGTCTCAAGAGTCTATACTTGTTCATATCAACTCAATAAACATTTGAACATGAGGGTAATTACGACAGTATTCAGGTAAATTTCTAACACGATACCCATTGTACAGAGGACATGCTAATGTAATATGGAATTCATCTTCTGGTTCAGTCACACAGGAGCTACAAAACGCGGTTTCATAGTCTTGGGAGTATCTACGCGAAGTATATATTATTAAGATCATGTACATTACAACGAAGTTTTGTCAAACATCTCCGTAAATCTTTTGAACTAATAGTTACAAGATATTTTTAAAGAAAATGGTCAGTCTTTATGGTTGAATAGAACGTCAAAGATGTTGAAAAAGCTGTATATTGATACCATTCTTGATAATAAATGTCTTTGCAACGCTGTTTAAAATTCTCAAGAAAATCTAGTGGTATCCATGCATAGCTGAAACCGTATCTAAATAATAACATTCTCACATTTGATACCCTGTTCACATCCCCATTAACATCTAGTCTTCTTAACATTTCATAACATTTCTTTGTATATCTGTATGGCGGTTGACGTAAAATCCTAGTCCAAAACGAAAGTCATATGCATCGCCATCAAATTACCGCTACTTATTTGTTTCATTTTTAACCACCATGGAACAAATGTGTTTACCTTTCCCCCGACAGAAGAATTTCACATGATTTTGCATGTGACGTGAGTTCGAAAACCTCTTGAGTTCTGCTTTTCAATATGGTCATAGAATATTACTACACTGTATGTAGTCATTAATAATTCTGTTATATGATTGCCCATGCCTTGTTTTTGGTATTGATGAAATTATTCGGATTCATGAAACATGAGATATGTATAAAGCAGATATCATTGGATCCTGGTTAAGAATCCTGGATAATATGTAGTTCTTCGTAGATCTATTGTTTGCGGATAATGATTTGAGATCATTTGATGTTCTGAGGATGGGGGTAAAAAGAATAATTTGTTCCAGATAAGAATGGCTAAAGTCATCTGTTTTCAGGTTGTACCAAGAACTATAAGGAACCGGACATGCTGAGTTAAATTAACAAACATATATATCTCGGTGTCACTTTTCAGAGCAAGAAAGTGTTATAAGGAGGTGACCCAACACGTATCAAATCTGTAAAGGTGTCACTTTTCAGAGCCAAAATGTGCGTTAGGAGTGACCCAACACGTATCAAATCTGTAAAGGTGTCACTTTTAAGAGCCAAAATGTGCGTTAGGAGTGACCCAACACGTATCAAATCTGTAAAGGTGTCACTTTTCAGAGCCAAAATGTGCTTTAGGAGTGACCCAACACGTATCAAATCTGTAAAGGTGTCACTTTTAAGAGCCAAAATGTGCGTTCGGAGTGACCCAACACGTATCAAATCTGTAAAGGTGTCACTTTTAAGAGCCAAAATGTGCGTTAGGTGTGACCCAACACGTATCAAATCTGTAAAGGTCGCACCCAAAACGTCATGGTTATATGATATTTTAGTAGACCAGATAGTGACTGTAAATATTGTGGACATCTGTTGGCCATGAATAGTATATTGGCAATATACAATCTGGTGGTGCGATTTGATAGTGAGGCCAGGTAATGATGGGATATCATATTAGCATCCAGAGATCTGGAGTGCGTGAGTGAGTTTAGTTTTACGCCGCACTCGGCAACATTCCAGCTATATGGCGGCGGTCTGTAAATAATCCAGTCTGGCCCAGACAATCTAGTGATCAACAGCATGAGCATCGATCTGCGCGATTGGGAACCGATGACATGTGCCAACCAAGCCAGCGAGCCTGACCACCCGATCCCGTTAGTCGCCTTTTACGACAAGCTTGGGTTACTAAAGGTCCATTCTAACCCGGACCTTCAAGGGTTCAGGGATCTAGAGGTCATGGGAGTGTATTTGTTGGCATGCCATGATCAGAATGTCACGTGTGTCTGTCTGATATGTTTACAACGGGTTTTTTCAAAACAACGAGCTGTGAAGTAAAGGTATCTGACGAGTTTCTTACATATATTAAATCGCACTCTTTTTGCATCGAATCGGCATATATACTCATGGAAACGAATAAGGGAACACATGGAAGTGCAAGAGTTCCTTTATTCTTTTCCAGGTTTCTTCACAAGGTATGTATTGCACTGTGAGTGAAATTTTGGAAATAAATAAAGGAACACTTGTACTTTCATGTGTTCCCTTATTCGTTTCTATGAGCATATAGTTTACTTCTTCTCAGGATCGCAGTGGCGCATTAATACATGGAACAGCGGTGATTATTTTTGACGTCACCTGACGTTCTGCCTTCTACTCATATATTTCTTAACATTCCAAAACATAACAACTTTCGACGAAGACGTAAGTGAGCTTGCCAAAACGACAACTACCTTATCATATAGCATATTACAATCAGGTGCCCGTTTCACTTACGACTGTCGTAAGTCTATGTTAAAGTATGGGAGTCACCTTAGCGCTACGATCGCTTTGTGAAATGGGGCCCAGGAAAGTAGTCCGTCATAATCTGACCTTAGGTCATCACCGTGAAGTAGCCTGTGACGGACCTGGAGTTTGATCTCACATACGATTGATACCAGGTTGCCCATATGGGTTTCTCACCCACAGGTTTTGTAAGAAGGAAGGGTACATGTTGGTGTCTTAGGATACGGTGGTACAAGGGTACGTCAGTATCTGAAGATCACGTGACCATGAGAAAATATACTCAACAAAAAATGTTAAGGACTACCCAAATTTTCAATACTAAAATATTTAATAGTTCATATTATGCTCCATATAATACTTAAATATTAAATATTGGGGTGGTCCTCAACTTTTTTGGTTGAGTATAAATTGGTACTTGACGATTAGGTTGTCCTGGAATCTGCCAATATCGTAGGTAACTCGTCAGTTATGAGACAAGGCAGAGCTATTAACATAGTACTTAGTTTTGCTCCACGTCCAAAATAGTGTCGTTTTCAGCCAAGCAGCGATGATTGTGTTTGGCTGCGGCTAATTTCCATAGATAAACATCACAGTGCGAATACATAACCTTAGGTTTAGTATCTCCGTTTTTATTGCAGACAAACAGATGTGGAACACAAGCACCGATCTGGTTGGATCTCGAAAATGGTTTACCGGAACCAGGAAAACAAGTTTCCGGTCGCGCATGCGCTTCTTGGTCCAGCCCGGGGACTGACCCAGACTGTTGTTTCTATGCATTTGAGGTTCATGTGCATAATTGTGAAGATTTCTTTTTGTATAGACTTCAATCTTCACTTGGATGTGATATAGCATATTGTTTAGACTGTAAGTATGATGTAAACATCAGGAGAACTTAGATCATGTAGGATAGACCGATGGAAGGACTTGCTGACAGTTTTCCAAACAATAATTTGTCAAGAAAATGTAGAGGGAGAAAGAATTTGTGATTTTACGAAACAATAATTGATGACTTGAAAAAAAATGATTGTAAAAAATATTGTTTTAAATCTGCTTTTAGATTATCAAATCGATACATATGTAGACTGTCGGACAAAACAGAATTAGTTTTAAAATGAATCATAAGGGTTATCACGACCGTTAAAGACTGAAAAATATTCGCCTAAACTCTGTAACTTTAGGGTCTTAAATGCATCTATGATACGAATATCAAATATATTACCATGACATTACCGGGGTGGGTTTATTTCATTTTAGCCACCAAGGGTGCATAAGTACCTTTTGACCTTTAGTTTATAATTGCTTATATAATATTTGATAAAAGTATTTATAGCAAGATGGTGCTAAGTTGTGTTCTAATATTTATTTCTGTTTACAGATCATAAAGTCACGTGTAAAAAAGGAGAAACATATGACATAAAAATTAAAAAGTGTAATGGTAAGTATATCTGTACATAAGATCTCACTGTCCAAATTGAAGCTTTGCAAGTATGAGTTTTCATGCTGAGCGTGAAGAATGTTTCGACCAGCGTCAACGTAAAAATTACACTCATGCAAATCTCAATTCCACACATCTATTTCATTTCAGCGCCAACACCTATATGTAAAAGCGGGGAGGTTTATGACGAAGATTCCGGAACATGTGTTGGTAAGTATATATGCTTCTACAGTGATACGCTTTTGAGGTTTTAGTACTTTACCATGAAGCGTTGATGAAAAACTTTAGACATAAAGACAAAGCGAAAATATTTCTATTTAACACCTCAATCAGCAATAATCCAAGTCAGACAGCTACGGATTGGAAATAGAGCACGCTGAACTATGCAAGCAGTTACTGAAAGCATGAACGTTGCAAGCTATAGGCCATAATGGCACGCGATCAGCATGTCATGAACGTGACCACCCACTCCCCATCCTAATCACTTCCTATGACAAGTGTTTACTTGCTGGTCCTCAATCTGGTTTTCACCAATGCGGAAATATGAACACACGTGGCGTTTTAAATTTAAAACTATCAATACCGCGTCCGGCGTCATCTACTTATGAGTGAGTGAGTGAGTTTAGTTTTACGCCGCACTCAGCAATATTCGAGCTATATGGCGGCGGTCTGTAAATAATCGAGTCTGGACCAGACAATCCAGTGATCAACATGATGAGCATCGATCTACGCAATTGGGAACCGATGACATGTGTCAACCAAGCCAGCGAGCCTGACCACCCGATCCCGTTCATCTACTCTATGAAAACCGAGGACCTGTTTACCTTTTGTCTCAAACATTTTGTGTCATCATTCATTTTTAGCGGACCCGTGAAGATCCGGGTTAGAATTGGTCTTCAGTAACCCATGCTTGTCGTAAGAGGCGACTAACGGGATCAGGTGGTCAGGCTCGCTGACTTGGTTGACACACGTCATCGTATCCCAGTTGCGTCGATGTTCATGCTGTTGGTCACTTGATTGTCTGGTCCAGACTCGATTATTTACAGACCGCCGCTGTATAGCTGGAATATTGCTGAGTGCGGCGTAAAACTAAACTCACTCACTCACTCATAAGTAGATGAACAACAAACCAACCACCATTTTCAGTGATTCATGTGTAATGATGTTCATGGCTATTTAACGCCAGACTGAATCTGCTTCTGTTGATAACCAAGACTGGTTATTCTCTGGCGTTGACGTTTTATGCTATACATTTACGCTAAACAAATCACACAGCGCTCACGGTCTGTAACTCCGCAGCACTGAGATCTACGTGGTTTTCATACACGTCTTAAAGTTGAAAATAAACTAGAATCAAAACGTTCATAAGAAATGGTGAAACCACACATCCACGTTCTGGAGCTAATTATACCATTAAAACAACACGCCTAGTTTGACGGCATCACGTGACGTTATTACGTCAAAGTCTCAAGCCAGTACAGTAAACAGGTGAAATATCCATCTCGCACCTAACACACCACCGCCGTTATCTTTTCTGTGGGCATACTTGTACAGGTGAGGCTTCTGCTTCGTTAGGTGTGTCAGATATTTTTGCAGAAGGGATCACTGCATGATTTACGCCGAGGTATGACGACATGGCATAACGTTCTGGCGGTAAAGGGTGTTTGAAATTTTGTGGTGAAAACGCGGTGGTCCTGTCGGACGGTGTGAAATTTATTCGAAGCTGCTGAACTTTTTCGTTTGGGCGTCACCACTGTACTGCAACGGAAATGATCGTTCCTTGTCACCTGTGCTAAGTCACCTGTGCTTAGTCACCTGTGCTTGGTCTCAGGAACTTTCTTTATCCAACAACGTCTTTCAACAAGGATATCTTCAATGAACAAATATGAATATGTTAAATGATATAAGATTAAATAAGATAAAAAGAAAAAGGAAAATGTTTCCTATGATATTTGTTTTATAGCTGTTATATGTTTCACTATCTTTTAGCATCTTGAACGTTAGTAAGTATAGGACGTTTGGTGCAGGGACATTTTAATCATAATAAATATGTTGCATGATTCATCACAGACCTTGGACCAAACGTTTTGGGAGATGAAATTGAAATATTGCCAGCAGCAGAGAAAGTTAGTCCTCACACACATCCTGCAGTTACGTTATGGCAGAAAACGTCCAGAATAGTACAGTTAACTACGGTTGTAACGAACTCATAGTGACTCTTCGATAAATACTTCGATATGACCATTGTGTTCCTTATATGCATTTCGGCTTAAGTATATAACAATTGCCTACGGCCGAAAAAGCAGTTCGGTATATCCGTGAGTTCGTTATAAACGGGTTCGTGATAAACGTAGTTTAATATATGTTTGTAGTAGGAGCCTAGAAATGCGATAATGAGGTTGCAGTGCGTTGCCTGCTGTTTTGAAATCGTTCTCAACTGTTAGTTTCTTCGTCATAGGCAGCTAAAATGGATTCGGAATTGCGGCAGTAAACACCATTCACTCCATATCATGTCTCTTTGGGAACCGAACAGCTATGTAACACTCACCCGCATTTCAGTGGAAGAGTAGATTTGGATATTTACAGATACAGTTATCATATACTATTCACACTTTGCTAAGGATCAAATCATGGACTGAACAGAAAACTATTATGTGGGGTCACATTTGGTTTAAATACCTGAGCCTCTTGTAAGCATGGGTCCTAGGTTTCAGTATGTCATTGCATCTTGTGGATCCCATACCTGCTACTGACAAGTGTCGTTTATTTGCCAATGACTCGTTCCATGATTTGCAAAATGGTTGATTGGTGCCATGAAAACCATTTTTATGGTTACTAATGTACCAAGGGCATAAGGTTAGATTAAAGTGGCTGTTTGCCTAAAGAGGGGTTACCACATGTTTATTCATCCAGTTTTAAATGGATACAATTTCAAATTATAAATCTACGTTTAAGTAAAGTTGTGATCCTTAGCAAAGTGTGAGTAGTATATTTGAACACCCCCATTCATAACGTTACAACTTAGAAGCAACACAGCTCGAAGCATTTACTGATGTTGTGTCCGTGAACCATTCATGGTTTACTCCATGTTCCCAGGTCCTCAGCCTATCCTCGCCCTACACAACTGTAAACAAGGACAGGTGTTTGACGAGGTCTTACAGCAATGTGTTGGTAAGAAATATATGCATCAATATTCAAGGTATAAAACACAGGCTGATAAATGTAAGAATTGTTTCACAGACAGCTGAAAATTTGCTTTCAAGTTCGTGTTGCAATATGTGTCTGCTAAACATTAATTATCTGTGAGTTAATTGAATGTGCAGGGTTTTTTTACAAGCAGCTTTAAACAGCATTTACATTGTCACTTTGTAAACTTGAAATATTCCAGTATGTTTATATAGCCGTTTGTGTCAAGACTACTGCATATGCCTTAAGGCTTTGTTTATTTAAATTCATACATATGGTCGTACTTTTGTGTGTTAATGTTTCCAACATGTAATCTTAGGATATGAAATCTTTCTTGATTTGTGTGACCACATAAGACTGTGTTTGTAGCCAAGGGTATATTTATTAACAGTAGAGATTACAATTGTCAAAGTAAAGTCCAGTTGTTTTGGCGTTGCATTGCTCAGTAAAATATGTTGATACATCTGAGTGTTTTGTACAGCAAGTACCGCTGAAAAAAAAGAGTTTAACAGTTATGTAAGTTTAACTTTCCAGAATGAAGTGACACGTTTACGTTTTTCTTCAGTGTTGGTGGATGCCCTCGAATACCACCAGCCCGTCGTCAAGGTCGAGGTCAAGGACAACGTGGCGACCTTGACTTGTCTTCTTGAACTTCCCTACAAAGATCTACCTGGGGTGACGTTCAGCTACTTGTGGTACAAGACCACGAATTACGGCCAGGAGCTTATCGTCCGAGGGGGCCAGGCACTCCACAGTCAAACAATCAGACTTGGTCAAGAAGCTCGGATAGGGGAATCCGTAAGTTCTTCTCACTTAATGGGAAGTGCACTCGAGAAATATGGATGACCTAGGATTCAAGTCACTAAAATCATATTTTAAAGACGTACATCAATCAAGCAGTTAATGATAACAAGGTTTTTTGTTTTGAGCACCGAGTAGAACATCCAAACCTTAACGGATAATATCACCCATAGACTAGACTGAGCCCAGTTTCCTTGTATCATAAAGCAGAAAAACAGATGGAGTAAAGCTAGACTAACTTATGGAACTATGAAACTGAAATTTATTGGTTAAATTCTCTTATAGTATACTCATGCCAAAAATGGTTGTCACCCTCCCCACCCCAACCCCACACACACCCCACCCCACACCCCCACACCCTCTCCAATAAAAAAAATTGAAGGGCGTGACAACCATTATTGGCATGAGTATATATAATGGGAACGAACCCAAAAATGTAAGTTATCCATTTGCTGTCCAGTTATGTAGACATATCTCCCAATCATCGGAGTACATGAAATAAGAATTGTATAAACATTGAATGAGATTCAAAGAAGTTAGCCAATATTCGTCTTTGTTGCTGTAGAAAGTCAGGGTCAGTGGAGCCAGTTTCCGAAATCTAACGACAAAGGGATATTTGGTACTCGCGTACTGACCTTTGCTTCCTAAAAGCGTTAGTTCTTTAGATCGTCATGGAACTCATTGCCACACATGTTACCATATCTTTAACCATCAATGTTACCATCGTGCGCACCCTGATTGGGAGAGTTCTGCATCTCTATTGCCTGTTGTACCAGGTGACTAAGATGGATTGGGTGGTAAGAATCGGTGACATAGTTAAATGTGCGTGTAATTGTCCATCTCAGTGGTTCGTTGTTCATTATATCAACCACTGGTTTCACCTCGGTAATTTACAAGCGGCAATAATACTACTGGAATATTGTGTTCAGCGTTTAACAATTTACCGAAAACATTAATGTTACAGGTTATTTGCACTGTTAGTCTTGGGAATGGTGCTCGACGTGGAGACACCAATGTCGAAGTCCAGAGTGAACCCTACTTCCTGGGATTAAAGGTAAACAATGCTTGGGTTTATTAGTTTCAGCATTCATAGATTATTATTTTATTATAGGATATTTATATAGCGCACATATTCACACAACTAGTGCATGCTCAAGGCGCTGGCATTTTCCCCTCGATCATTGGATGTCAATCTCAACGACACATCGTATTATCAATCTCAACTCCCTGGGGAGTATACAACTCTTGCAGCCACTAGGCGCACCGAGGTATTGTGGCTTTCTCATCCTAACGAGGTCTCCACGGATTCGTGGGTTCTTTTGAGTGCACAGGGTTGTGGATTACCACGCTCAGTGCGTCTTGGAGCGTCTTAGACAATGTAAATCAAAATACACCGACATGGCATGAATGTACTAAAATGGAAATATTTTCCAAAGATTGTTTCGGTTCAACTGTCTCTTAATATGAAATGGAAATGTGCCAAGAATATTTTTGCATGAAACTGGGGCGCGGTGGGCGAGCTGGCTAAGGCGCCAGGCTAGTGATCCAGCGAGGTTGAGGTGCCGGGATCGAGCCCACCTGTGACCGGGTGTAAAAACCTTGGAGTCAGCTTTGTGTGCAGACTCTTTCAGTGTTGTCACAACCCCTAGTGTTCAGTACACAACCCTGTGCACTTAAAAGAACCCACGAATCCGTTGGTATATGACCAGATGGTGGCCGAATGAATACGTGCAAACACCTAGTTGCGGGTACAGCAACGTGCAGTTAACTTGGGCAAAGTACTGTGACTATGTGTCCCAGTCCACCCAGCTGTGAATGGGTACCTCGTTAGGATGAGAAAGCAACAATAACTCGGTGCGCCTAATGGCAGCAAGAGTTGTATACTCTCCAGGGAGTTGAGATTGAAAATTCGAAGTGCCGTTGAGATTGACATCCAATGATCGAGGGGAAAAATACCAGCGCCTTGAGCATGCACTAGTTGTGTGAATATGTGCGGTATATAAATATCCTATGAAAAAAATTTTAAAACTGAAGATACTTAGAATTGGTTAGTATTCCGGGCTTACAAGAAGTTTGGAAAGGTGTTTCTTTCAGGATCTGTTACACGAGCTTCAGTACCGTTAAATATAGAACGTCACTGCAAAAAACTGCCTCAGTTGACTCAGCAGAAAATGGGTACCCGGTGGGATAAAATCATGTGACTCTAACCCTCTAGCGCCTAACAGGCAGCTTGGGTTATCCGGGGTAAAAATAATCAGATTGTTGCAAGGCGCATGATAAATGGACTATTATTATTAAATATATGTAGCTTTCGCACCATGTGTATCGATACGTTCATTTAACATATGAATCAGTGAGGGTGTGCATCGCAGTGACTGGTTCCAAAGGGCATCGAACCTGCATCAGAATTTGTCTTTCATAATGACAGCGTCAAAGAAAGAAAATGACAAGTCTTGCTTATCCACGACAGGAAGGAATTTCAGAAAAATGTCTCCACTTTTATGCCCCAGTGTGTGCTACATGTAAAGTATTCAAAGTGCAATATATACTGAGGGGAAAAACTAGGGATCACATGAAAGCACAAGTGTTCCTGTATTTTTGTCCCCAGGTTTTCTACCAGCATGGTATCGCACAACTTGTGAAGAAACCTGGAAAAACATAAAGGAACGCTTGTGCTTTCACATGCTCCCTTATTTTTTCCCTCAGTATATTTGAATTCAAATGACAACATTGAAATGCTTTGGTTCCGAGCAACCCCTTTTCTGTTTCCGGGCTGCATTGCTGCATCTTTTCTTCAGATAAAGGAGCACGATCACGTTGTGAGGGAGGATGGCAGGAACTACAACATCTCCATCGTATCCACCGTGCCCATCGTATGTTCACCTGACACACCCAAGCAGGAGTGCAAGCTGGCCGTCAGCCTCCTCGTCTTTGGACAAAGTACGTCATCCCTGTGAATGTGCTAGCCCAGTGGTTAAAGCGTTTGCGCATCATGGCAAAGGACCTAGGTCGATTGCCAACATGCTGTTGATCATTCATATGCAAGCTCTGATTTTGCAGTTCGATTTCTGGTCAGCAGTACAATTTTTTCTGAATCAAATATACTTCCTTGTTGTACCGTTCTTGCTGGAATACATTAGAATGGCTATTGTTCAGGACATGTCAACATTTCTTGGAAAGTAACTGTTTACAATGTGTGTATGTGTGTGTATCTATACATGCACAACTTTAACTTGGAATGAAATAGTTATGAAATGATAGGTATTGCGTCTTCCATTTTGGACTGTTTCCGTCAAGTGATATCACGTTATAGTCCCGTTAAACAGACCCAGTTTCCTGACGGTATCTTATGAAATATCGTAATTAAAAATTGTTGCTTTTGATCTTCTTAGAGTGAGTGAATGTTTTAACGCCACAGTGCGCAATTAAACAGATACGTTTATAACACGGAGGGGAGACTCTGTTTCAATATTTACAATCGGGAAGTATTTCGGAAAGAATTACCGTTAAAGCAAACAAATGCAGTTCTACCACACAATTTAAGGTAGATCAGATCAAGGCAAACGGGGTCAAGGGTGGCCCACTCATCATCATCAGAGGTGCTGCATGTCCTAGTGAAGATGTGCGATCTTTATACGTGCTGGAATCTCATGATCGTGAGTTCGAATCCAAAATAGTGTCGGATAATGATTCTAGGATTTTCACCATCATACCATGTTCGTAGGTTTCACTGGCAATTGTCCAAGACTTGGTTCTGGTTTTCCTCTCACATTAAACATTTAACCTAAATATTGTCCAAAGCATCCTAAATCTCAGCTCTTTGCTGTTCCAGTTGGTCTGGAGATGCCCCGCCTTCGACTGTCCACATGCTACTTCGAGTTCATGAGCAAGAACTGCAGCGACGGAGTGTGTGACCAGCAGGTGATACAGATGCGTCTCATCCCCAACCTCCAGGACACGCCGAGCGGGACGGGGGCAACCATTGCTGCTGTGGTCAACGACTTCGGTCAGAACGTGTGGCAGTCCATTTCACTGGACACCCAGGTATCGATCTTCAACACTGGCTAGCATTATTTATTCTGTATTTTATGGAACAAAGAACTTGCTCAAAACAATAACAGCGTGGCCCTCGGAATATCGTATGGTCCATTCCTTATGTGATTATCGTTTGTTTGTTGTTCAAAGAATATCCAACAATATTACATCGTTCTGTAAATAGCAGAGTCTGGACCAATCCAGTGATTGACTTAAGGAGCATCGATTGATATAAGATGCATTTGACATGAGATGATAAGTTATTGTCATTCGGTATTTTCGGATTCTGGACTTCCCGACATAAATGATTGATAATTGAATCAACATGTCCAATGCTTAACATTGAAAAATTAAATAAAATATAATGTATCTACTTTAAATATGTCATTACCATGAAGTATATTCACTACGTTCTTGAAGCAAGCTTAAATGTACGGTTTCACTCTTTGTATCCGCATGAACTTATTATTTCATAAAAACTTAATTAGCGTCATTTCATTACTTAGACAAATGAGGAAAGGAAATATAAACTTCAGCAGGATATTAACCAACATTGAATGGAAACAATGGCACAACTTATAGACTTTCTGTCCACCTCTTTAAGTGGTACTTCCGTTGAGTTTTTGACGTTATTCGGGCTGACATGTGCATTTTTTTACCTCAGGTCAGGATCGAGGACGTCCCATTTGCCGAATGCTTCATCTTCAACGACCCTCATGTAATGACGTTTGATGGAAAGTATGTGATCTTTGGCTTAAAATGTTATGTGACCGTTTGAGTTTAAGAACATAGGGTCAACGAGAATTCATTTGCAATCTGAAAGGTGTTTGATTTGCCCGTCTACGGAGTGCTTTAAATATTGATATACTTTGTTAAAACAAGGATTGTAAAAATAATTAGAATCACACTATAAAAGTGTTTTATTAGCGCGTCTACAGAGGGCTTTGCAATCTAATTTACATGTTGATATATTTTGTTAAAGCAAGGATAGAAAAAATGAACTTAAATCAGGAAATGAAGTGTGTTTGGTTAGCGCGTCTATGGTGTGCTTACCAATATTACTTTACAGGTTTATATATTTTGTAAAAACAATATTGTAGAAATAATTAGAATCAGAAAATAAAAGGTGTTTGATTATCGCGTCCACGGCTTGTTTAGCAAAATTGTTTTACATGCAAGCATAAGCATTGTAAAATGAGGGAGTGAGTGAGTATGGTTTTACGCCGCTTTAAGCAATGTTCCAGCATCACGACGGGGGACATCAGAAATAGGCTTCACCCATTGTACCCATCTAGGGAATCGAACCCGGGTCTTCAGCTTGATCTGCGGACGCTTTAACCATAAGGCTATCCCATCGCCCCCATTGTAAAATGAATTACGAATTACTGTGGTCCTCTGATGACATGGTCGGTATGACATTGACAAACAATGCGGCAAAGTCAATGGAGGGTAACGGCTAAAAACACATCCAAGGTCACGCCTATGTCAGAGGCCGAGAAAGAATAAATGTTTGGTTGTTGACATTAATCACGTTTTTAAAATGTTATATACTCTATAGATTGTTAACTGGGTTCATATAGCTAGGTATATTGCTGCGTATATCATGACATTGGGTCGATATGTCAAATATTTGGATGATATAGGATGAATTGACTATGTTTCAGGTACTACAACCTGTACCAGCGAGGAACGTATGTCTTCTATTCAAACACTGAAAAGGAGTCCAAGGTAAAGCCACTCATTACATGATATTGCTTGTGAACGCTATATTTCAAAATCACCCGTGAAGATCCGGGTTAGAATTGATCTTCAGTAACCCATGCTTGTCGGAAGAGGCGACTAACGAGATCGGGTGGTCAGACTCGCTGACTTGGTTGACACATATCTTCGTATCCCAATTGCGTAAATCGATGCTCATGCTGATGATCACTGGATTGTCTGGTCCAGGCATTATTTACAGACCGCCTCCATATAGCTGGAATGTTGCTGAGTGCGGCGTTAAACAGCAAAACGAACTAAACCTATATTTCAAAATATAAATTTCATAGAGGATGATCGCGATTGCTGGGGCGATGGATTTTTCACAGTGGTGTTGTAAGAACGTGAACGTTAGGTGACTCTGATGTTCAGACCAGAGATACCACAAAGGAATAACTACAGTATAGTGTATAGGTAAAATTGTATAACCCTGTATAACCACTTTCCATATATATCATGACTTTGCGTTAAAGAGATCCGTAGGCTAGTGATAATTACGCGTTTGGTAGGGTAGGGGAGTGGTTTCTGCGCTCACTCGGTACGCTGACGGTCTAGGTTCGAATGACAAAATGGTTATAATTTGTAATGCCTAGTATGTTCTGGCATTGCAAAAGCTACTTATTCGGTGGAAAATCATACCTCATTCACTAGATAATGATTTTCATGCTCTGAAGCATTGTCGACGATACGCAAATAATGTGGGCGTTATGTGGGTATCATCGTATATGCAACGACTGAATGATAACATAATGCCATGTGTTTATTGTTAGCGCCCTTCACTAGAGTGGTTTCAATACAAAACAAAGCCTCTACAGTTCTAAAAAAGAGATATTGTCATTTTCCCGTCTTGTTGCAAGCAGGCTACAGATAGAACGCTTTTGCATGGAAAAGATTCTGAAATTCGTTTCCTAACCACAAACACAGTTCCTACATGCACGCACACCAACTAACACTTTGTCTGTCTACGAGTACATGTACCTCTCCATGCCCCAGGTACACGGCCGGGTGTGGGACTGTGGCGGCAAGGGCGGGTACTGTGTTTGTGGGGTGGTCATCAAGCACATGGGGGACATGGCGACCGTGGACATGTGCGACGGACAGAGTCCTAACGGCAGAGCAAAGGTCACCTTCCCACTACACGCCGTCAGCGAGGACATCAAGATCTACACCTCCCGCGACGACAGGGTGCTGACGGTAAGCATCATTTACCTGTCTCAATATAGTGGCTAATGTATATTGATATACTATAATCATTCGCTGAAACTCACTATACACAGCTGCGCCCCTGAACAGAAACGACAAAACCCTTTTCACATCCATAAGAAACCTGTGTCAATTATACAATACTGACTGTATCATGAGGATGTAGTGTTTATTTGACATCGCATTCAGCAATATTGAAGCTGTACGACTCGGTCTGTAAACAAGCGAGCCTGGACCACCCGTGAAGATCCAGGTTAGAATTGGTCTTCAGTAACCCATGCTTGTTCTAAGAGGCGACTAACGGGTGGATCGGGTGGTCAGGCTCGCTGACTCGGTCGACACATGTCATCGTATCCCAATTGCGAAGATCGATACTCATTCTGTTGATCACTGGATTGTCTGGTCCAGATTCGATTATTTACAGACCGCCTCCATATAGCTGGAATAGTTCTGTATGTGACGTAAAACAACAAACCTGAACCAACGAGACTGGACCAGACAAGCCAGTGGTTGACAAACTGAAAGACGATGACAGAGCATGTGTTTATGAATCACAGCGTTCAAGGCTGGTATTGGGTTCGAATCCTGTCAGTTATGATCAGCGTTCTGTCAGTATTTCACTCATCCTCGTTCGTTTCCTGAACGTTGGGGAGCTGTGATGTTAGTCTCCTCCCATATAAAGTTGACACATGGTTATATGTCTAAACGGTTCGTGGTAGACATCGAGAACATGGCGAGTACTTAATCAATATTTATTTTAGAAAACATCTATTCCCCTTTTCTGTTCAGAGGTCCAAACTAGTACATGTAAGTGCCAACTGGTACCTGAGCATTGCACGTCCTCTCTATCGATGAGTGGTCAACCGTTTTACCGGAAGGAATCTTGAAATACAATGCCAAATTGTAGCTCTGAATTTGTGAATTTAACTCTCATATCTACTTCGAGCAACATTAAAGACACAGTTAGGTTGCCTTCCAAGGGCACTTTGCCAGGAATCCTAGAAATATTCCTGCCTGTAAAGTCGAAAGCCGGCAAATGCGAGTTCCCAAACATATTCATTTCATTAAAATCATGTTATTCTGATACCATAGTTCTCTGAGTTCGCCTGGGGGCATCTCCAGGAGAAACAGGGAAACTTTCTCAGGAGTCAAGCAGAGTTGAGACTTCTGAATGTATTATGAGAGAATGAACCACTCACACAGGCGTATCTGATTTCTACATTTCGAAAACAAATATGTTCAGTAAGTTTCGAATGTAGAGAAATACAGCCGTGTGTATATATTGTTTTAGGTATTTTATAAGTCGTGTCGTTTCATGGTATCTACACCCGAATTTGTCGTTGGTATATTTGGGTTTGGGGACGGATTATTTTGCTGAGATCGATATTTCCGATTCCAGATTGTCATGAAATGAATTTGAATTGTTTAAGAAAGTTAAACTCTGACTGGCTTGAAACGCCAAAGATTTATCACTTAGATTCTGCGGTCGATGTTTGCTCAGGGCTCCCATGACGGCAACTCCTGTGTCCTGTTGTCCTATACAGGTGGCTTCACATCTTCACGCATCGAGGTCATAGAGTTACAGATTTTAATTAGACTGAGCAAATATTTCACTGTTATAGTGTTGTACCCGTGAAGATCAGGGTTACAATTGGTCTTCAATAACCCATGCTTGTCGTAAGAGGCGACTAACGGGATCGGGTGGTCAGGCTCGCTGACTTGGTTGACACATGTTATCGTATCCCAATTGCGTAGATCGATGATCATGGAGTTAATCATGATTGTCTGGTTCAGACTTGATTATTGAGAGACCGCCGTTATATAGTTGGAATATTGCTTACTGCGGCGTAAAACAACAAACGAATAAATAAATCTAAATCGTGTTCAATCCTGTTCCGCCAGGTGGTGTTCGCGGACGGATTCAGGGTGCGAGTCAACATGGAGGTGTGGGGAATGTCTGTCGTCGTCATGCTGCCAGGACAGGAAATCCGTCGAAGTCGAGGTCTGTGTGGCTCCTTTGACGACGACTCAAACAACGACTTCCACGATGGTAACGGCAACATCATTAAAGCCCCGGGAGACTACGAGGCATCGCTTCAGTTTGTTAAACTCTGGAGGTACGTCACGTCCCATGGATGACCAACCATATCATTTATATAATACGGTCCTTAGCTCTCTTTTTTCTTATCGTTGTACTCCAACAGCTTGGAAGGTTTCTCATAATATCAACCACTGGTTTGTCTGGCCCAGATTCCATTGTTGACAATGACATTAGTAACTTCATGAGACAATGCGAAAATGAGTTTTTTCACTTCCCGGGCAGTGGGGTAGCCTAGTGGTTAAAGCGTTTGCTCGTCACGCCGAAGACCCGGGTTCGAATTCCCACATGGGTACAATGTGTGAAGCCCATTTCTGGTGTCCCCGTCGTGATATTGCTGGAATATTGCTAAAAGCGGCGTTAAACCATACTCACTGTTCACTTGCCACGATGTCATTTAAAACCGAGTACGTGTACCTGGTCCCAGTTCAAATTCCGTGTTATAATTGGTCCCCAGTAACCTATGCATATTGCAGCCGGCGGGTCAATACATCGGGATGCCAGGCCCGGTGACCTGGTGCACAGTATCTGAATGATCACAATATCAATCACTGGATTGCCTGCTTCACTTCCGTTTAAGCACAGGTTTCCGTCATACAGCTGGGACAGGGAAAATGCGTATTAAACAAGAAACACTTCTTAATAATTAAATTGGTACTACAATGAATGTAGAACGAGTCTCGGCGCCCAAAAGGAAAAATATTCGATATCTAACTGTAAAATGAGTGAGTGAGTTTAGTTTTATCGCCGCACTCAGCAATATTCCAGCTATATGTCGGCGGTCTGTGAATAATCGAGTCTGGACCAGACAATCCAGTGATCAACAGCATGAGCATCGACCAACCCAATTGGGATACGATGACATGACATAATTTGTGTCAACCAAGTGAGCGAGCCTGGCCACCCGATCCCGTTAGTCGCCTTTTACGACAAGCATGGGTTACTGAAGATCACTGAATTATAACCCCGATCTTCACGGGGTTTTAACTGTAAAAAAGGTTGATGAACGCTCCTATAGTAATATGTTCACTTTAGTCGACAATTGAATGTTTAAATGTTACAACCATAATATCTGAGTTCAATATGTATGCAGTGCCCTCTGCCAAGCCATTAACAGACAAAAACTGTTCTATCAACAGGGTCAATCCTGGAGAGAGTCTCTTCGACCTGCCCCCAGTGCAGTCTGAATTTCCTCTAATCGAAGCACAGTGTGATTGCTCTCCAAACAAACAAGGAGAAATATGTCCCCTCACCTCATCCTTCAAAGACATCGTCCCGACAATCCATACCTCTGAAGAAAGCACCCTCGCTCTCTTCAAAGCCCAGTTTCCGGAAGTTGTGCACGGCAGTGACCATGACATTGACAGAAAAGGTCATGGTTATGACAGCTCCCTTCCTGGCCTCCCTCAGCGACAATCAAGCAGGAAGAAGAGACAGGCACTCGAAAATATACCAACATTTGAACTTGACGAAAGCTACGGATCTCCGATCGCCGTTAGTGAAGGGTATTACTTTGCACCCGATTACAACACAGAGCTCGGTGACCCGGAAGTGGCTCTTGATTGGCCGTCCAAATCCGGCATTACTGAAGCGGAAGCCAGTAACGTATGCGCACAAACCCTGTTTGATAATCCATTAGCATCGGCATGTGGTGAATATCTTGGTGAAAAATTACAACTTGCCTACGATTATTGCATGACGGACATTTTGATAAAGGACGACATATCCTGGGCTCAGTATGGTATGCCTCTATTGGAAAACCTGTGCGAAGCAATTATTCTGCGAGAGATCCACGGATTCTTGTATCCAGGCGACGCTTTGCCACAATGGCCGGCGGAACTGGTCAATGCTTTCAACTGTCCAGAGGGCTGTAACCATGGCAACTGCACCAGATCGGGTTGTGTGTGTTTGCAGGGATACAGGGGGAGATCATGCCTCGAAGGTATTGTTTTTCTTATTATCAGCGTATTTTATGAAAATAGATTCACCCTTCAAATACCAATGTTATAGTACAGGGAAAATTGTCTCTCAGTGTCTCTGTAATAAGTTGCTGGAGTTGACGATAAGCAGTCGAAACTGTTAAAAAGATCATACTTCATGTTGATTGAGTGGACAGGACAGCATACCTCACCAAATGATCCGCTGGAGGATGAATTGGCAGAGACATTCATAACAGATAAGGGGCGTTGGGGTAGCCTAGTTGTTAAAGCGTTCGCTCGTCACGCCGATGACCCGGGTTCGATTCCTCACATGATTACCATGTCTAAAGCCCACTTCTGATGTCCCCCGCCGTGATATTGCTGGAATATTGCTAGAAGCGGCGTAAAACTAAACTCACTCATCCACTTTCACTGTTAAAAGCAGATCGATGCTCATGCTGTTGATCACCGGATTGTCTGGTCCAGACTCGATTATTTACAGACCGCCGCCATATAGCTGTAATATTTCTGAGTGCGGCGTAAAACTCAAATCACTCAGTCATTCATTGTTAAAAACTTCACGTTTCTGTAGAAATAACTACAACCACAACAACTACTACGACGACCACTACAACACAACCAAGTACAACTACAACCACAACCACTACCACAACCACCACAACTACAACAATTATACCAACTACCACAACTACAACAACACCCACGACGACGGAGACGTTTGAGCTTTGCGACACTCGCAACACGGACTGCTCGGTGGTTTCCATGGTCGTCCCTGCGACGTCGGACCGTCTACAGTGTAAAGTCACACCTGTCGCCGTGAGTAACGTTCAAATGATCTCTACGATGTCTGTTCTTGGAGATCAGTATCAAATACAGCCAGTAATTTTGGTAGATTAAAGAAATTAAAAATCAAATATGGAATTTAATCATAAATAGAGCATATTGAAACGAGTATCCTGAAGGAGAGTATTCCGGAAACTGCCGAGAGGTATTGAGTAGAATTACCACGTGGTAGTGGCAAGAACGGTAGGCTCGTGCTTATATAAATATTACTGGTACAGTACTGTTTTTATTTAAGGGGTTACCCTGATGCTCACACTTGTCCTCCACCAATACTGTTCTACACTGGCAGATGTCCTTGGAGTAATATCATCTTGTAATTTTTGGTTCTCGTTATAATAATGTTGTAATGTCCTTTTTTATAAGGAGCGGTGGGGTAGCCCAGTGGTTTAATCATTCGCTCGTCACGCCGAAGAACCGGGTTCGATTTCCCACATGGGTACAATGTGTGAAGCGCATTTCTGGTGTCCCCCTCCGTGATATTGCTGGAATATTGCTAGAAGCGTCGAAAATCCAAACTCACTTACTCTTTTGATAATGTCCTCTTGAAATAATGTTTTTGTACTTTTGTTCACTTGTAAATAATATCCTTTTGAAATTATGTCCTCTCTTAATGTCCTCTTGTAATGATATGCTCTCCTATATCTCTTCGTGAAATAATGGTTTTTGTAATCATGTCCTCTTGCAAATACAGCATTTATTAATAATATTTTACTACTCAGAAAAAAGGTCAAGGACTGTAATCGGTTAACTACATGAAAGAATCGGTTGCTCCTTTATGCGTTTGATTAGTAAATGCAGGACTAAATCTCATGTAAAACACAAGTATACATATTCATTGTCCTGTGTACTCCTTACACATCGCATTCAGGCAAACCGTTTGCTGATCGATATAGACTGACCTCTAAACCTTGAGAATTATGGACTAGTTTCTATTCCTGCTCTTTCCAGATCCTGGATGGACACAAGCAGCCACTGACAGCACCCATTGTAACACAGAGCGGAAGTGACACTGACGGCTTGCTGAAATGTGTTCTTCCGCCAATAGAATCCCTCCGCCAGTTGTTTGTCTCCGATTTACCCATAGAGACACTGGTCATTGAGGTACAGTTCCTTATTTACGGGGCGATGGGGTAGCCTAGTGGTTAAGGCGTTCGCTCGTCACGCTTAGGACCCGGGTTCGATTCTCCACATGGGCACAATATGTGAAGCCCATTTATGGTGTCCCCCGCCGTGATATTGCTGGAATATTGCTAAAAGCGGCGTAAAAGCAAACTCACTCAGTCACTCCTTATTTACGTGTCAGTTACGCTTCTTTTGTTAAAATGTTGAAAAAGGGTCCTTTGTCAATTTAAGCGTTTCCTATTATATTCCCTTGCGTTAATCCATCTTTAGCAATAATTATTGTTTTGTTTCAGATTTTGTTCCAAGAGAAAAATATATTACATGTGTTGACTGTTCAGTTGATTGTATTTAACAGGCTGTCAACAGCGACGGGGAGACTGTTTCATCGAAGACCTTGACCCTACACGACTCCGTCTGTAGGGATTGTGGTGTGGACGGTCGTCAAGGTTGTCAGGTCAAGGTGAGATGCCGATTCTGGACTCTATTATTGTTATTTTGATCTGGAACAATGGCCGAATAAACGAGCGTCAGCATTTAATCCATTGCATTAAGTAGATAGGTACAAAACCATGTAATCTTCAAAGTAATCTTTTTCTTGAAAATTGCTTTTTGAAAACGGTATCTTCCATCCAGCCTGGCTCCTGCTTTATCGGCTACGAGTGCCACTCCGCCATGGACCTCAACCCCGACGACCCCTGTCAGCAGTGTGTTGTCGGACTCAGACAGACAGCCTGGTCGCCAACAACAGGTACGTCAAAACTGTCTGACCCCCGGCTATAGGTACGTCAAACAGTCTGCCTGGTCGCCAACAACAGGTACGTTAAAACAGCCTGGTCGCCAGCAACAGTTACATCAAAACTGTCTGACCCCGGCTATAGGTACGTCAAACAGTCTGCCTGGTCGCCAACAACAGGTACGTCAAAACAGCCTGGTCGCCAACAACAGTTACATCAAAACTGTCTGACCCCGGCTATAGGTACGTCAAACAGTCTGCCTGGTCGCCAACAACAGGTACGTCAAAACAGCCTGGTCGCCAACAACAGTTACGTCAAAACTGTCTGACCCCCGGCTATAGGTACGTCAAACAGTCAGCTACAGGAGCACATATAAGATCCTCAAAATAGACAGCTATATATGTAATGTACGTCATAAGAGACGGCCATGCATTAGCAAGATGGGTACGTCATGGTAGTTAAGGGCGTCGTAACTTAACAGACAGTACGACTGGTTGCCACCTTCAGATACGTCATGACATACGTATGTACAACAAATGGTACGTCATAATAGTGGAACAGACGCGCCGATGTCTTTAGATACGTCATCAACCAGGCAATTGGCCAAATATGTGCATTGCTTCATACTTGTTGTCAAATGTAAATACATCATGAGAGTCTGAAAGAGTACTAGTGGTCGGCAACTATTATGACAGACTGTTTGCAAAATATAGGTAAGATATGATTAGAACGACGTTCTGTAAGGATTTGAACAGCACTATCAATGAAACAAAAAACATGGTCTCAGGTACGTCAGGACAAAGAGAATGTTCTCCAACGTGTGTACGTCATGACAGTCGGACAGCACGTAAGAACGGACACTAAAATGATCGCTCTCTATAAATTGTGTTTCCCACGGTCAATAAGAATTTCTTCACCATTCCAGACAACTATCCTCCCGAGTTCCAAGGTCCCGAAATGCCAACAGTTATCTTCGCTGGTCAACAGGCCAGGGTACACATCAAGGCCACTGACCCCGAGGGGTCAAAGGTAGTGTACAGAATTAACCGCCCGGATGCTTACATCACCACTGATGGCTACTTCCACTGGCGCTCAGAAACAAACACAGTCGATGGCGGCCCGGCGATGGAGGTGTTCGAGATTACAGCAACAGACAACTGCAACAAAATGTCGCAGACCACACTCGAGGTAACCCGAAATTTACAAGACGTTTATCAACACAGAAAATATTCATATTGCTGAGATACTGGTATGAAGACGCGAGGGTCGTTTGAATAGTATTAACACTGCTATTAAAAGTATTTCAGTTATATAACCGCGGTTCAGCATAATGTGGGTGGAAAGTCATGATGCAGATCACCACCTTGGTGAAACCAAACAGCTTTGTTGCTGACAAACGTAGATATAGCAATCTGAAATTCATACTATCGTTTCCTGGCAGACCGAAGGGAGGTAACTTTAGCAAAGGCAGTTGCGGGGCCTTCTGGGGGCAACCTATGACAATCATGAAATCATGTTATTTTCTCCTGTGTATGCCAATATGTTTTACGGATCACAAAACGTCGTGTTTATTGTAAGCGCGAACATAAATAAGGATAACATGAGAGCAGTGGGAGACCTCGGTCCAGCTCCATAGCTATAAAGGGGCGATGGGGTAGCCTGGTCATCATGGTCATGCTATCATCCAGTGATATAAACCAGCTAGACCCCCGACTGCCGGTGCAGAATAGGTCTTCAGCAACCCATGCTGGCCACAAACGGCGACTATGTTTGTCGTAAGAGGCGACTGACGGGTTCGGGTGGTCAGACTCGCTGACTTGGTTGACACATGTCATCGGTTCCCAATTGCGCAGATCGATGCTCATGCTGTTGATCACTGGATTGTCTGGTCCAGACTCGATTATTGACAGACCGCCGCCATATAGCTGGAATATTGCTGAGTGCGGCGTAAAACTAAACTCTCTCACTCAATCCCTGCCGGTAATGTGGTCGAGCCATAAAACGTAAACCAGTGGTTGTTAGTGTGGGCATCAGCCATCATGGTTCGGGAGCCAACATAGCCAAGCATAGTCTATAGTCATATTTTGTTCTAAAGCCAATGTGAACGAGATCCTAAATTTCGCTCAGTCACAAAATCAGGATGCCATCTAGTTTACGCATTAAGTCTTGAAATTGTTGTCTTCAGGTGGTTGTCTTGACATGTGAGTGCCTCAACGGTGGTGCCTGTGTCAACCACACCTTCCTCAGGAACAAGGACATCGACTACAGCTGCGTGTGCCCTTCAGGTTACACAGGTCAGTCACAAGGTCGTTGTTATTGGGGTCAAGTTCAAGGTTATTCACAAGGTCGTTGTCATTGAGGTCAAGTGCAAGGTTATAGTTCAGTTTTAATATTAGTATTATTATATGGGTATTTATATAGCGCTATAGTCCATCCCATGAACATGCATGCTCAAAGCGCTTTTTTCCCACGATCATTCCATGTCAATCTCAACGGCACATCGTATTTTCAACCTCAACCCCCTGAGGACCATACAACTCGCGCCACCACTAGGCGCACCAAGTTAATGTGGCTTCCCCATCCTTACCCATTCATAGCTGGGTTGAATGGGACACATAGTCACAGTACTTTGTCCAAGTTTACTGCACCTTGCTGTACCCACAACTAGGTGTTTGCACGTATTCATCTGGTCATTTACCAACGGGTTTGTGGGTTCTTTAAGTGCACATGATTGTGTACTGTACACTAGGGGTCGTGACAACACTCACGAGTCTGCACACAAACTTGACCCCAAGATTTTAACACCTGGTTACAGGTGGGCTCGATCCCTGCACCTTGAGCTCGCTGGATCACTGGCCCACCACAGTACTAGTTACTGCTAGCAAAATACAGGCCAAACGTTATGACAAAAGGAATGTGTAACAAGTTATATATTGTTTTAGGAAAAAGGTGTCAGATAAACGTGAACGAGTGCGCCTCCAATCCTTGTGTCAACGGCAACTGCATCGACGAGGTCAACAGCTACACGTGCATCTGCGATCCAGGTTACAAAGGTACGTGCAGTTATATGAACATAAAACATGAAGTTTCCTTTGAGCAATCAAGTGATAAAAGTAAATTGATATAGAATGAAACTTTTCTCAAGTGCCCGATATTTTGTCCACATCGGACTCCTGGGGGTTGGCCAGCGTATGTGCAACGGCAGTGGAGACTGGCAACTCGCAATTCAAATTAAAATCAATCTACAACAACTGTGTTTTTTAAGAACGGGTGACAATGTTTCCAATGAACCATCTGAAACGTCCTTAAAGTTTCTGGATATAGAGAGTGGTCCGTGTTTTAGGCTTTGTTAACGAATTTCGTTCAGATATTGTCAGTTGCGTTTTGTTGATAGTTCTCGTTTGAAATAAAATAGAATCTTGTCGAATTGTAAATGTAATGCGTTTCATAATTTTACATCACTTAAGACATATGATGTCGCCCATCGAACATCTTTGCTTTTTGGGATGAGGTTCATGGATACCACGAGGCATCAAGTCGAAACGGATTTATCCTGATTTGCCAGAACCTCATCAACACAAAAACTCCGTAATATTATCAGGAACTATCACATCTTATTAATATCAAGAATATACAACGCGCAGTCAGATATTGAATTATTATTATTACAAATGTAATTAAATTTTGAAAGGAAAACAGTCAGATCGGCAAGTTTATGAACGAGCACTGCGTCAATTGTGTTCATAGATAAGGACATATCCTTTTCATGTTCCCAGGGTTTTCCTGTGAGGTGATAGACGACATCTGCGCCACTGAGCCATGTTTCCCGGGGGTGACCTGCTCTGGGAGGGGCAGCGTCTTCTCTTGCGGGCCCTGTCCCCCTGGACTCACTGGAGACGGGAAGACGTGCGGGGGTAAGTTCTTGAAAACAAACCGCGTTTCCTAATTATATTCGTTGTATTATCATTATACATCTACATCGATCGTTTATTTTCTGTTACAGAATTGGACGCATGCGCACAACTACCTTGTTTCCCTGGGGTTGTGTGCACGGACCACCCAGCGCCGGATATCGGCTATTCATGTGGAGACTGTCCAAGGTTCTTCAGGGGTGACGGCAAAAGATGTGGGAGAACAAGTAAATATCTATGATAATAAATTGGCACAGACAAAGTATCTTAAACGACTTTATGACGTTACTCGGTACATAGTTACCGACCCAAGATCCGGGTTAGAATTGGTCTTCAGTAACCCATGCTTGTCGTAACGGGCGGCTGTCGGAATCGGGTGGTCAGGCTCGCTGTATTGGTTGACATATGTCATCGTATCCCAGTTGCGTAGATCAATGCTCATGATGTTGATCACTGGATTGTCTGGTCCAGACTCGATTATTTGCAGACTCGTCATTTACCTGGAATATTTTTGAGTGCGGCGTTAAACATCAAACAAACAAACCAACTATATTCATTAACAGTTAACCTGACACTATAGATGCAACCCTTGCTATGCCATTTACAGATGTGTTGGCGTGCGACAAGGATGTGTGCTCCCCCGTCGTCGATTGTGTGGAGACAGACTACTACCCCGGGTACACGTGCGGCCCGTGCCCGGACGGATACAGGGGAAACGGAAGTGTGTGTGAACGTAAGTCGGGCGTCTTCTTTACTTTGTACTTGGATTTTAGGGATCTTAATGTTCAGGGATGTGGAACAAAAATAACAGTTCGAAGCTTCTGTTATTGTCAAGACTGATCCTATATACGAAAATAAATAAAAAATTGTTACACTGTCTGATCTAGACACATTATGCATGCTCAAATGCTCGTAAATGCGAGCTGAAATTATGTAGCCATGACGAATATTATTCATAGCATAGCAGTACCTGTACTTTAAGCAGTGTCTGACACTGTAAACATCAAATTACCAAACTGCCAAATGAAAAATGGTCAATTTGAAAATTACTTTTTCCAATCCTTCGATCTTATTCCTTTACAAAAATACAAAGGCATTTACTGAAGAATCAAATTTTATTTCTTTTTTCCTACTTGTGAGTATAATATCCGTTCTTCCTGGTTTCACAAGTGGTGACCGTCTTCAATGAAAGTCATCCAGAAATACAAAAGGTGGTCATGACATAGCTGATCTGACTTAAATTTAAATTAAAACAAAGAATGATAACTCATACAAAGGTGAAGAACCTAAAGTACCATGCAACCTACATACATCATGTACACACGACAGCAGCTCTGATTACCAGTTTGGACTAATGTATAGGAGGTACAGGTACAGCTCAAATGGTATAAGGTGAGCCTGTTGGGTCACCAACGCTTCGAATGGGTTTTCGTTGGTTACAGGGGCGGATCCAGAGGGGTAGTGCGGAGGTGCGCACCCCCATCCCCTTCAGAAAAACATTTCCTTGAGGAGCATTTCCCCCTAACCTTATGATTTCATGATTTATGTGCGCGCGCGCACTCACGCACGCAAACGCACACGCACACGCACCTCCAAAATCCTGGATCCGCCCCTGGGTTACAATTCATATCTCAACGTTTGTGCCTCTGTATGTGCAGCTATCTGTGAGCCTGCCTGTAGAGGGCGCCGTCAGTGTGTTGGACCCAACAGGTGTGAGTGTCCGAAGGGGTACACTGGGAGAAGATGCAATCTCCGTGAGTACAAACTGTTTCTTTCTTAAGCCTCCAAGCAGCAACATTTGAGTAATATATGCTGTAGAGACATTTCAGGAACCAGGGATGACTATAGCTTTACTGAATATCTTCCTTGGTCATTGCGTCAATAAATGCCATGTAATTGTGAGCTCGAGCTACCAAATCTATTTCGAGGCAAGATTTCCTTTACGAATGTCATACAGATCCACATATACAGTCAATCTCCTTTGTGTCGAAGTTGAAGGGGGCAACGGAAATATTTCGAGTTCCCGATGTTCGACACAACCGGAAAATATGATGATCAATCAAGGAATACACAGGGACCAAGTTATTACTGATGACCGCAAGTTCGACACATAATGGTTCGACACAACAGTGTTTGACTGCATATGTCTGCCCTGCTTACATAGACACATGGCCTTATAGGCACTGGATACAACGTCTAGACGTAGAAGGGCGGTGGGGTAGCCCAGTGGCTAAAGCGTTCGCTCGTCACGCCGAATACCCGGGTTCGATTCCCCACATGGGTGCAATGTGTGAAGCCCATTTCTGGTGTCCCCCGCCGTGATATTGCTAAAAGCGGCGTAAAACTAAACTCACTCACTCCCTCACTCTAGGCGTAAACGGGACAGGAACAACAGATCGTTGAGCGTTATCCATCTTTATTGCCCAAATATACCATTGTAATGTAAAACCATTGCAAAAACATCTGGCCTTATAAGAATGTCTTTGGGTAGTAGTGAGCCAGTGTTTTAATGCGCATGATTGACGTCACGTGGCACTGCCAGGAATCAATGGTTATTATTGTCTATTTTCAGCCGTGTGCGTTCCATACTGCCGGAATGGTGGCGTGTGCTACGAGCCTAACAAGTGTCGGTGTTTCTCTGGGTACACTGGTGACCAGTGCGAGCAGAGTGAGTCCAAACACTGGATTAAATAACGCGTTATTCTTGGTATCAGTACCGCGTTAATCTTTGTATGAGTACCGCATAATCTGGGTATCAGTAAAGGGTTAATACGGGTATCAGTACCGCGTTAATCTGGGTATTATTAACGGGTCAATCTGGGTATCAGTAACGGATTATTCTGGCTATCAGTAAAGGGTTAATCTGCAGGGTATCAGTAACTGGTAATTCTGGGTATCAGTAACTGGTAATTCTGGGTATCAGTAACTGGTAATTCTGGGTATCAGTAACGGGTTATTCTGGGTATCAGTAATGCGTTAATCTGGGTATCAGTAAAGGGTTAATCTGGGTATCAGTAATGCGTTAATCTGGATATCAATAAGGATTAATATGCAGAGTATGAGTTACGCGTTATTCTTGGTATCAGTAATGGGTCAATCTGGGTATCAGTAACATTTTAATCTGGGTGCCACTAAACCGTTATTCTTGGTATCAGTAACAGGCCAATCTAGGTATCAGGAATGGGTTAATCTGGGTATAAGTAAAGTGTTAATCTGGGTATCAATAAAAGGTTAATCTAGGTATCAGTAACCAGTTAATCTAGGTATCAGTAACCCGTTAATCTGGGTATCGGTAACCCGTTAATCTGGGTATCAGTAACCCGTTAATCTAGGTATCAGTAACCCGTTAATCTGGGTATCGGTAACCCGCGGCCGTTAATATGGGTATCGGTAACACGTTAATATGGGTATCGGTAACACGTTAATATGGGTATCAGTAACCCGTTAATTTAGGTATCAGTAACCCGTTAATCTGGGTATCGGTAACCCATTAATCTAGGTATCAGTAACCCGTTAATCTTGGTATCAGTAACCCGTTAATCTAGCTATCAGTAACCCGTTAATCTAGGTATCAGTAACCCGTTAATCTGGGCATCGGTAACCCGCGGCCGTTAATATGGGTATCGGTAACCCGTTAATCTAGGTATCAGTAACCCGTTAATCTAGGTATCAGTAACCCGTTAATTTGGGTATTGGTAACCCGCGGCCGTTAATATGGGTGTCGGTAACACGTTAATTTAGGTATCAGTAACCCGTTAATCTGGGTATCGGTAACACGTTAATCTGGGTATTGGTAACCAGTTAATCTAGGTATCAGTAACCCGTTAATCTAGGTATCAGTAACCCGCGGCCGTTAATATGGGTATCGGTAACACGTTAATCTGGGTATCGGTAACCCGTTAATCTGGGTATTGGCAACCAGTTAATTTAGGTATCAGTAACCCGTTAATCTAGGTATCAGTAACCCGCGGCCGTTAACATTGGTATCGGTAACACGCTCATTTAGGTATCAGTAACCCGTTGATCTGGGTGTCGGTAACACGTTAATCTGGGTATCGGTAACACATTAATCTGGGTATCAGTAACACGTTAATCTAGGTATCAGTAACCCGCGGCCTTTAATATGGGTATCGGTAACACGTTAATCTGGGTATCGTTAACCCGTTAATCTGGGTATCAGTAACACGTTAATCTAGGTATCAGTAACCCGCGGTCATTAATACGGGTATCGTTAACACGTTAATATGGGTATCAGTAACACGTTAATCTGGGTATCGGTAACACGTTAATATGGGTATCAGTAACAAGTTAATTTAGGTATCGGTAACACGTTAATTTAGGTATCAGTAACCCGTTAATCTCGGTATCGGTAACACGTTAATCTGGGTATCGGTAACTAGTTAATGTAGGTATCAGTAACCCGTTAATCTGGGTATCAGTTACACGTTAATCTAGGTATCAGTAAACCGCGGCCGTTAATCTGGGTATCGGTAACTAGTTAATTTAGGTATCAGTAACCCGTTAATCTGGGTATCATTTACACGTTAATCTAGGTATCAATAACCCGCGGCCGTTAATCTAGCCATCAGTAACCCGTTAATCTGGGTATCAGTAACCCGCGGCCGTTAATCTGGGTATCAGTAACACGTTAATCTGGGTATCGGTAACTAGTTAATTTAGGTATCAGTAACCCGTTAATCTGGGTATCAGTAACACGTTAATCTAGGTATCAGTAACCCGCGGCCGTTAATATGGGTATCGGTAACACGTTGATGTGGGTATCAGTAACCAGTTAATTTAGGTATCGGTAACCCGTTAATATGGGTATCAGTAACCCGCGGCTGTTATTCTGGGTATCGGTAACACGTTAATCTGGGTATCGGTAACACGTTAATATGGGTATCAGTAACCCGTTAAGCTAGGTATCAGTAACCCGTTAATCAGTAATGTATTAGTCACTCCACATATATTTGTATCTGTTTAATGTCATTACGCAATGATTGAACAAAATGTTGCCCAGACAGGAAATATATGCCGGATTATGGAGATTGCTGGAGTACTCTGATAGGTTTACCCAGAATGAGAAGGGTATAAACTGCCCAGCAAAAGGACCTTTACACTTAAAAAGCGTGATAATTTTATCCAAGGTCCTAAAGAGAGCAAAGAGAATCAAATACATGGCCATGGATTATCCGTTTCTTCTTAAACCATAATCAAACATGAGTTTATACGTATACGTTAACAATTTGCCCACCAGTTTCAAAAAGCAAGTTATCATACAGATGTGATTGTTTCTTTATCCGGACTCCATGCCTGTGTTTCCTTCAGGCGTGTGCACCCCAGAGTGTCAGAATGGCGGCCGATGCTACACCAGGAACAGATGCCTGTGTCCATACGGTTTCACAGGACCAAGGTGTGAACTATGTGAGTGCTCAAGAGTTTGTACCCCTACATCTTTGTTTACCTCATCTTCATCAATGACATTTTGCAAAGAATACAGGCATACAAACTTCCGTAACACAGAGACCAGGGTCCACTTGCACAAAGTGTTCTTAGCGCTAAGACCGGTTTCAGTCAATGTTAGAGTATGATAGTACGTTCATCGTAGCGCTTAAATGACTTTGTGAAAGTGGGCCCTGCCTCTTATATTACACAGCCAGCAAATGATCAACAGTCGACCAAAATGTGCATTACATATAACAAGTTGAACATTTCCTTTTAATACCTTGCGTGTCATAATTTGCTGGAAGCGCTCGTAACATATGAAATTGTCATCCATATATGTGTTTGCACTTCTCTTTCTATGTTTCATTTTTTCAAAGAATAGCTAAAAAGGGAACAGCAATTTGTCACACTGAAAGCCCGTGTTCGATTCTCAAAATGCACCATGCGTAATATCATTACGTTAGTCCCCTTGGCGGCATGGCTGAAATATTGCTGAAACCAGTGTAAAACACTCGCTCTCTCTTCCGCTCTGAGGACTGAACTCTCTGAGGTGACCGAGAAGCGCACCACCTGAAACCAACGTTCATTTTTTGCTTTGGTTTGTCTTACATTGGGCTCAACGATAAAACGTTCAGTTGGAAGTATGTTTATCATGACACGTACATAACTGTTATGCATGCACAAAGTACGTAAGTTCAGATGGTAAGGGAAAAATGTGATTTCGTGTCCTTTCATTTTCATCATTTTTTTCTCATTTTGTTGCAGCTGCTGTTTGGGTTTTTGTGTTTCATCTTATCTTCACGTTATACTCATGAAGTTATACGTATCTCTGATGTCAAACTACATTGAACATGTCACGACATTCTCCAAAATATATAGTTAGCATATTACACTTTCCACAAATGGTATTTTGTCAGATGACATTGCAGTTTTCATAGTACGTTAGTAAATAACAAGACGATTATCAATCTGTATTTGAAGACACGCACATGCAAAATGAAATATTACATCCTTGGACAATCTTTTTTCATTCATAAAACATGTTCATGCTTGTTGCTACAGTAGGTTAATGTAGTACCATCGTCCGTACTTCACGGGTTGGTGTACTCTGCTGTCCTGCATTGCCCGTGAATACCCATGGCCGCTTTTAGATGTAGTAGAAACACGTATCTACAATAGGGCCTGCGAGGCGCTACTTCCGGTACTAAGCTGGTTCCCGGCTCCCTTTGCGATCGCCAACTTGCGATATGCAAGACGGGGCCCAGCTTACTTCCGGTACAAGATTTCCGATGACAAGCGTATATTCAAGAACCAGGGCCCTTAATCTCGAAACGTTCGTAGTCCTAAGAATTCTTAACTTTGATCGTAGCCAATGTGTTAAGAATGGGTTTAAGAAGTTCTTAGGGCTACGAACGTTTCGAGAATAGCTAGCCTGTGCCGTTTCCAAATTGCCAATTTGAAATATGACTTTACTAGCTCGGACCAAGTGTACAACCATGCCTGGCTTTCACAGCTGTTGACTATGACAGTTGATTAGTTGGCTAATTTGGGGAATTTTGTTATTCATGTATGGATTGTCGGTTCCTTACTATCAGCTGACAACCATGAGGCCATTCGAAAGGGTGTAAAGCGTTGTTTGTCACCGGAAGTACTAAGGTCTCGCGGAGTGCCGCGACCTACTTAGTCAAGAAACGATATGAGACGTGAGTTACTCAAGGAACTCGTGCTCACTCAGCTCCATGCATCGACTTTATATGAACCCTACCACATTCGTAACTACTCGTGTCATCCGGCAAGCCGGATGGCGTCTCGTACCCCCCTCGTGGCCCTGTCTAAGCGCAAACGGGCATGGAGATTAAAATAGTCTAGTACTATCGCCAAGGAAAGATAACTCTGAATTTTCAAACATGGCTCCTAGAATATCCTATATCCCGTGGGCAAAACAGCAATACAGTCATTCCCTTTGTAAATAGGTTCAAAGTTTCTGATCCTTTAGCTCAAAGTTTATGTTTAACTTGTGCTTTGCGTAGTTTAGCGAAGTTTCAAACTTTAACGGTGCCGCCATTTTCATGCTTCGAGATGCGTTTTACTACGTGGTTTGCCACGATTCTTGGCAATAATGGCGTACGATAGGGAAACGAGTCTTCTTGTAGGTCACGGAAAGAGGCGAGTAGTTACGAATGAACCCTACCATTGTCTAATACTGCCGCAATGTGTAGAGTATACGAGAAACGTCTGTAATGTAATCTCATTGGTCAGATTACCCTCTCGCTTCGACCAAGCAGCTGCTTGATTGGTTTGTTAAAATAGTCACAACAAAACGTGACCGTCAGTATTCACGGGTGATGGAAGACAGTAGTGTACACAAACCCTAGAAGTAATCCATGATGTAGTACAGACATTCCCTTCTATGCTATGGGACTTTGATTTTGTCTCCTGTGTTCTATATTTTGTGTCTATCCAATTTCATCATGCTACATCTATACCTTCATGCATGTTTTCGACAAATATGGCTGTCGTGCGATGGTAAACTGTAGCCTGTGTACCTCTTTGTATAGAATTAACACGTGACTTGACAATCTTGTTGACAGACATCCGGTAAACATTTGAGCAACTACATATCTCCATATTTCAATTTCCAAACAGCATTTCAATAATATTGTATCCTGTTTATTTTCTGATGAAATATTTCGTGTTTGTTTACGAAGTACTCATATTGAATTATAGAAATTTTGTAGTGATATATTCTGAAACAGTTCCATGAAAACAGATATTCACAACAATTCCATACGATGTTCTTTCTTCATTGCATTGGTGCTACAGCCTTATTGCTATCAGCTTATCATCAGGTGTCGGTGGTACCCCGGATATTCATCAAATTCCACGGTTGCGATTTTAATAATATACAAGGAAATTTTAATAATATGAAAAGAAAAAAGGTGTGGTCCTCAACCTTTTTCCAGGTGCCTAACATGACCATCAAGTCTATTTTGATTTCTACAGTGGCATGTCGAAGGCCTTGTCAAAATGGCGGAGTCTGTATTGGGCCTGAGAGATGTCGATGTGAGAAAGGCTGGAAGGGACAATATTGTGAAATTCCCATGTGTTACCCGCCATGTTTTAACGGAGGCACGTGCATAAGACCACACGAGTGTGCATGCCCACCAGGATATTCCGGTCGCTATTGTCAGGAAGGTATACGGTTTTCAGCGTTCGTGTTTTGACATGTTATGTGCTGTCTGCGTCTCAAAATGCCTTAGTTTGGCAAGGGCAAGGGACAAATGTGATTTTATACGTTGTTTCGGTCGTAAGTCAGAGGAATATAGCAGGCACTCAAATTCAAAGGCAGCCATGTTTGTTCCTTGGCCTACCTGCTGTTTCATGTGACCTTCACCTTGTATACTGTAGGGGTTGCAACGTAACGTGGTCTCGATTCTGTTGATATCACGATATTAGACTTACGATACCATATTTCGTGATAATAAACTCAAATATTAGCACAGGACAACTTCATCCCTATCAAAGTACAACCATGGGCCTTGCAGAAAATATCTACTTTACGCGTACAAGTTAGCTACGGACAGGCCGCTTTCTGAAGAGCACCTGGTGTCCACATAGGTCCCAGTTAGGTTACTCATTCCATAAGATGTAAAGAGTTCCGTATGAGCGTTTATGAGAGAGTGTTTGCTTGCGTGTGTGGATTAGGGTTCGGGAGGTTTATTTTGAAAGCATTTCCAAAGTCTTCTGCTCTTGTCCTATATCGTCAACGACACTAATTAAGAATCTTTATAAGTCAAGTAAAAATTTTTTTACAAATACCTGTCGTTAAATATAAACGAATTCGGTTTTCGCAATGAAGACTCTTTATTAATGTATATTTCGGAAGGATTCAACAAAATTCTGACTTTTTGGAATTTGAAATAAGAACTTACCGCTCCTCCAGGCCTTCAATAGAAAATTTGAGTTCTGCTCTCTGAAACCGGCTTAATGGTATGACTAGCCTGTGTCTCTGGCTAAACAGCTGATTTGTTATAGTCTTTGCGCTAAGATCGCTTTGTTGAACAGGTCCCTGAACGTTCCCCCTATTGTATACACGAGTGGGGTACTTGCAAATCAGAAAAGTATAATAAAAAATAGATAGCATATCTATTTCACAATTATTTAATTACCATGTGAAATGTAATTTTATTCCGTGATCGTCCAAAATTGGTATTCATGTGTTTCTCGAAGGTTAATTTACAATGATAATATAGGTTATATCTTTTTATGTTAGCTGTATGAACATATTGATAAATACTGCGAATCAGTAAAAGGAGTTTTAGTATCATATTTCCATTTCTCAACTATGGAATACTGTAAGGATATTTCGCTTTCCTCGGATGTTTTAGTCTAGCACGTTATGCGTTGAAGCAACTCTCCAAAGTTTAAGATTGCCAACATGCAGGAATGAAAACATGCACCTTGCAGTACTCCATACTGAGCAAAATAAAAATTAGATGTTCTTTGATTAAAACCAATATGTCGATGATCTGTAAGAGTTAGATGTTGATGTCCATGTCTATATGAGAATAATTAACGATAAAAGAGATGTGTCATGATAATTTCTCTTCCCCAGCCATCTGTATTCCGCCGTGCCTCCATGGTGGCAAATGTAAACGGTTTAACGTATGCAAATGTGGATACGGTTACACAGGGGAGAGGTGTGAACGAGGTGGGTCTGCTATCAGTCTGTGCCAGCAACATTTACGAACCTTGAACTCTTTGTTCAGTTATCTCCCCTTGAGCCAATTTGGCTAAAAAATAAGAGACCGAATGCCACTTTCGTTGAAATTCGCCTTAAAGTACAATGTATGTTATATTTCGATCAGTGATCTGGAAATGTTTATGAACTCAACTCTGTAAAAAAAACGAAATTTGAAGCGAATTACATCTGAAATGGTATTTGTGTTCACAACAATCAGTCTGATTGTCTCCCCTTATCAAAGGCCAAATCAGCGTACATTTAGCGCCTGCAACTCTTGCAAATTCTGCTTAACAGGTGTCCTTAAATTACGCCCTGCTACAGCGTGCCTGTTCTTTACTGTTGTTGTACCTTCTTATGGAGATGTTGTAAAGGTGATAGTATCTCTACTCCATAAATATACTCTGTTCTAACATCTTTGTGATGGAAGCATATTAGCAGTACATCTTCAGCTTGTAACTAACACTCTTTTCCAATGCTCATCATTTTCTTCGTGCGAGCCCTCTAAAGCATGTTAAATCATGTCAATTACCACAATGTCATTTTACCTTCCATCATTTGAATCATAGTTCCCGCTATTTCATTTTACATTCTGCCAAATTCGAGCTAAGGTAACGCTCTTGAAGTCTCCTTAGATGACATCATTTCCTGATTGTATGCGGTTGTCTCCCCTTACCTAGCTTCCTGTCGCCCTAAGTGTATGAATGGAGCCAGGTGCGTGGGTCCGGACCGGTGTTCCTGTCCCTCGGGCTGGACTGGGAGGCGGTGTGACAAAGGTAATAGTACAGTGTGTGATGCATGCCTTTATAGCAATTATATCATACATTGTTTGTTTGTTGTTTAACGCCGCACTCAGACATATTCCACCTATTTGACGGTAGTTTGTAAATATTCAGTTCTGGACAAACTAGTGATTGATGTTAGGATATCTGTAATTTGATATCATACCATGACATTAATTTATCGACATTGACTATAAATCATAGTGAGTAAATCACAATAATGAAAACACATATTCATGATATTATCAAATTGACAACACTAAGGATATCATCAAATCATGTACCTTCAGTTGTCTGTTAAACTCAGATCACGATATCAGTAGTCGAATGACATCAGTAAGCATCATTCTGTGACAGTGACTGTGATGATCATATCAGTGGTTATTATCAATAAATCAACATCTAATGTCATACATACCATAAGATATGTAATGATATCAGGAATCATATTTAAGATATCGAACATCAAATACAACGAGCTGCCATACTGATAACTATTTTGTACATTCAGGATGTATTCGTATTTAAAATAATTCTCTTCCAGACAGGGACATCGTTGGATGTCCCCGCTCATCCGTCATTTTTAAGGGGCAGCTGGGACCTTAATTAGCCATAAATAACACCATGAGCGGAAGTGGTCCAAAAACCCCTTTCCTATACTACTCGTTCGGTCTGTGAATGACATTTGCAAGTGATACGTAAAAGGAGGAAGGAATTTATGCATGTCAGCTACTGTACTACGAGGAATACGACGTTTTTGAGTGTATGGTGAAGAAATAAGAAAATACTCTTCCTCATATTACAGTTGTTGATATACGTAAATTGTTTCCATATATTGTGAGCATGTCTGTGATGCAACATCCTCTCTTTCGTCAGCCGTGTGTCATCTACCGTGCCAGAACGGAGGAGTGTGCTTCAAGCCAGACATCTGCGTGTGTAGGCGGGGGTACGCCGGTGCCAGCTGTCAGAAACGTGAGTCAGGCATACCCATGTGATATAGAAAACACACATTCTGTATCAAATACGTCTTTAAAGCTGTGCATCATATGAAAAAGCGTGGCACCCCAGCAATATTCCAGCTGGCGGCGGTCTGTAAATAATTGACTCTCGACCAGAGAATCCAGTGATCAACAGCATGAGCTTCGAACTACGTAATTTGGATACGATGACATGTGTCAACCGAGTCTGCGAGCTTGACCACCAGATCCTGTCAGTCGCCTGGATAACTGGAGACTAATTTTAACCCGGATCGTCACGGGTTTTGATGAATAAAGAATCATGTATTATTGTAACGGAGACATCACGACTAATAATAATAATGTGTCCATGTAGATAGCGCCTGATTCCACACTAGGTATGCTCATAGCGCTAACAATGAAAGCACAGCACATTATTACCCCGGATAACCCAAGCTGCCTGTTAGGCGCTAGAACATTATAGTCTGATTATCCCACCCGGTAGCCATTTTCTGCTGGGTGAACAAAAGCACGTTTGAACAAACTCACTTGCCTAAGGTGAGACCACATGTATCACATGTGCTTGTTTGTGGAGCAGGACTGATGTCCTAGAAAGCTGTCACCCATCCAAAGACTCTCTGCGCCCAACGTAGCTTGTAATTAACTTCGCCTGATTTGTGACCTGCACACCACGACTGTGACTTAAATGTGGAGATGTTTCAAAACATTGATTTCATTTTCAATTAGGGTTTAATTTCAACCACGCCCATCAATCCACAATGAATTCCATACGACTTCTACTTGCAGCATTGTGTTGGCCACGATGTCGTCACGGCGGCCGATGCATAGCCCCGCAGACATGTCGCTGTAGACGAGGTTTCAGAGGGCGTTTCTGTCAACGGAGGCTCAGATGGGTAAGAGAGAATTCAGATATGGACGTCCTTATGATGTAAATATATCATTCTCATTGATATTCCGACGGCCATATTTTCTAAGAGATCGTTCAACCAAAACACAAACTGCAATAATATAATTATTATCATATATAAATATCTGACCGCTAAATATGTGTACATTTCGTAGCTTCAGACGGGGTTCCAATCGCTTCGAAAGTTTGGTCTTCGGATAAATATTAGATCATAATGCATAGAACGAATTCCTGTTTTAGATTATTCGAACATATATTAAATTATATTTAACATCTGTAACAACCGACCTTTCTCGTTGTATAAATCACGAAATTAATGCATTATAGAAATAATGCGAGACTCGCGATCTAGCCACAAATACGAGAAGATCTAGCCACAAATACTTGATATTATTGCAAGAAATGCTCACATTCGCCATCATTTCTAAAATATATTTAATATAATTTATAATTTTTTATATAATTTGTTTTGCGTCATTTTAATGATGCGAGTGAAACTCTCTCGCATTGTGCGCATTAATTTCTGCTCGCATTAACTATCAATTAGACGTTGTGTCTTGTGACCTAACTGACGTGTTGATAAGGAGAAGGCAAGTTGTCATTTGTCTCTGCAGTTTGTGTTCGTTGTTTGTGTGCTAGAGCTGCGCTCTGTTTGCCATGTTTGATAGACCCACATAGTAAATCTGGGCCATAAAACTAACAGTAAATTTGAAGTGAATGTAGTTGACGTGAAATGTAAATCATTAATTTATGTCCTGCTAAGGTATTGCCAATACAGTCAACATTGTTTTACCTAAAAGTATCCCCAATACGTTTGACTGTTTATGGCGTTACAAAGTATCCTATATTGTATATCATGTTTTAATGTTGACTTATATGGAGGGGCGGCACGCCGGTAAGGTGCCTAGTGATTAAACCGTTCGCCTGCCACGCCAACTTTACGGGTTCGATTCCCCACATGGGTACAATGTGTGAAGCCCATTTCTGGTGTCCCCCGCCGTGATATTACTGGAATATTGCTAAAAGCGGCATAAAACCCAACTCACCAAATTATGTGGAGAAATGTGTTTTATCTGTTTCACAAGAAATCCGCATGAAGGAAAAGGGTAGAATCATCAAAAACGAATCGCTGTCCAGTGATGTCAATGAATATATAGATTAGATAATACTTTCTCACGAAACTTGGAGGCTACAAGCTTATAGTTTACAGATTGTGTGTTAGCGCTTTGAGCATGTGCCTTGTACATGGAAAAAGACACAATATAAATTCACATTTATTATCACTGCTTTTAGGAAGCCGCTGTGCTTGATAATGAAATAAAATAATTTCTGACATAAAATAATAAATGTAAATGGCCATATTTCTTAAAGTATTAATTTTTAATGAAGATATTACAGAGACAAATTTGTGAATATTTGAATAAGCATAAACCAGTCTTTAGATATATATTATTAGTAAATACATTTAAAGCATACTAGCTTGGAGCGATTTTCATCTTTAACAAAATCTCGATTACTTTGATTACAATATTTTAATTGTCTATGCATTGTTTTATCCCTTCCTAATCACAGGGGCGTGTCACGCTTAGAAACAGCGTTAGAAAGACATATAGGTATATAGACCCTACCCTAGTACTATATAAAAGGAAAGGGATGTAACGACGGAACCACCCCCTCCTCAATCTAAGTTAGATTTCACCACGTAAACTATTTTTAAGGCCCCGTCGAAGCCTACGGATCGAAAGCGAGATGATTTCCCTACAAAATGAGCTAGAAATGGTCACAATCAGAACATTATTTCAAAAGTTATACGCCACGACTCACCGAAAACAGCTACCTCCGCAATTCCAAGCCAAAATCATGAAGCACCCAAGACAGCGAAAACTCACCTTTTAATTAAGAAATACACTTCTCTCTACCACCATGTATAGTGTAATAAAACACACTTTCGCCCTGAACTATTATAACGTTAAAGCACTCGGACGCAAGCGAAGTGTATTTCTTTTCTAAGATGCCAAATTTAATACTTTCTAAAGATAATTACGATTAATTTAAGGCAGAAAACAAACGACGGTGTCGGTGACCTAAATTAAGAATCCTCGCACAGGGCTAACTGGCGCGCTGTTCTATTGATGTGTCTGCCCCCTACATTAAGACGAACGTAACCAGAAAAAATCAAATGATAACAGTTTGATGACGGTTTACGTTCGGATTAAATATCTTCTCTGAATTATTTTAATTACATCTGTCATTAACGTAAACCATATGGGACAATATGAACGTTGCATTTCTACTACCAGCGTAAGTTTAGATCAGTACATCCAGAGGAAGTTGAGTAGTCAAGCGACATTCCACAATTGCATTGTTGGAATGTAAACATTACGAACGTTACCGTGTCGCTGAAAACTTGTGAGTCGAACTGACACATTTTAACCGTCGTAAAACATAAACGTAATAGTGTTTCCACCAGTGATGTTAGCTGCGTGAAGCAACTGCAAACCAAGAAACGGGATGCAACGGGGTAGTTTACTGTAGGAGGCCGTACGAGGCGATGACAACTGACATGCATCGTGACGTCGCTTACATTGTGACGTAATGTAAAATGGTTCGATTACGAGGGGGGCACACTAGAATGTCGCAGTGATGGTATAACGTCATTCAATTGTTACGTCATCAAAAAACTATACCTTTATTTAGGGGCTAACTGTACTGTGTTTGACGAATTGGGGACGTATACCGGTGGTTATATAGCCACAAATTTAGTTATATCGGCGACGCGTAAGCGGAGCCGATATAACGTTAAATTTGCGGCTATATAACCGGGCTATATAACCACCGGTATACGTCCCCAATTCGTCAAACACAGTACAGTTATCCCCATTCTAATTCAACTCGTTTTACGCTGTTTTTTTCGTGAAAGAAATTCATCATTTAAACCAGGTCAAAGTTTCTCTAGGTCAAAGGTTAATCATATCACTCCTTCAACTTACACCATCGCCAGAGAAAGTAGTTCCCTTTTCAAACTACACACGTTTATTATGTGCACACAGACTAATTTGACAATGAAGAATAGAGCTTAGTGTTATAGATAAAATGGACGGTATTATGATGAAACCGCCCTCTAGTTACAGAAATGAGCGGCCCACTGATTCCTCAACTACGGGCCATTATCAGTTCTGTTGTCAAATGACGTCATAGCAGGTGACGTCACGCTCCATAATGACGTCATAAACCTTGTTTCATGATCTAACAGTGTTGGGTCAACAGCCCGTTGCGAGTAAGTTGTTTGAACTTAAAATTAAATTTATGATACTGTTTTGTCCTTTTTAACACAAATTCCACCCATTTTAGCTGGATAGGGGAGTTAATTGACCAATGACTTCTGCAAATGACAATGTCCTGCGAAACAGCGTTACCCCAATAGTGTAGGGATACATTCAAAGGTTTCGGTGAATCGGTTTTCAAATTGCGACCGTATATGCTGATTATACGGTCGGAAATTTATAGCATTGACCAATCAGAACTCGTGTTACATACTAAGTTGAATTAGAATGTCTGATAATGTCTTTTTAACGCTGTTTCTAAGCGTGACACGCCCCTGTGTTCCTAACTAGATAATATTTATGAAAACTACAAAAAAATCTATTGTTAAGGATTGAAATCCAGCAGATATGTATATCAAACAGGTTTGTGTGGATATATCTTTTCATTTAACCAACTTAAACTAAATGGAAACAAAAATGCAATGACCTCTGTACCTTGGTACATGTTGCCTACCTTTACTATAATACATCATTCCATTTACCCGTGAAGAATTGATCTTCGGTAACCCATGGTGCTTGTCGTAAGTGGCGACTAACGGGTGGTCAGGCTCGCTGACTTGGTTGACACACGTCATCGCTTCCCAATTGCGTAGATCGATGCTCAAGCTGTTGATCACTGGATTGTCTGGTCCAGACTCGATTATGTACAGACCGCCGCCATATAGCTGGAATATTGCTGAGTGCGGCGTGAAACTAAACTCACTCACTCACACCATTCCATATCCCGAATTTTCCTCCTAGGGCAGGCGCATAGAGTCCTATAATGGGAAATCGTATGTGAAAATACGAATGATGTTGAAATGCCTTGATAAGAGCTGCGCAAAATCCGCCAGTCGTGAGTTGCCATAGTGACTAGTCGCTATTCTAAACCCATTTGTGTCATCTTTATAGTGACCAGATTAATTCTAACTGACACACACCACGTAGAAGACTTAGAAAGTCGATTAATCCAGATTGATGAGGAAGCGTAACAAAGAATAACTTTTGATAGCAGGTATCTGAGTAGAGATAGACGCACATGGCTGTAGATAGCGATTTCCTAGTGGATGAGCTATGTCCTTGTATATACATAGCAGCTGATATGGTAGATAAAGGTTGTGGTGAAGGTTTTTGCCTTTGACATTCATTATAAACACTTGCAACTTTTTTACTTGTATGTATATACATGTATATATGCTTTTTTTAAATGCTCTTGTATTCATAATCATGTTGTCTTTTGTTATGTGTTTGTTGACGTCGTATATTTTTATGTCTGTCCAACGTGGATAATGGTATTTATTTTGCGGGAGCATTAAAAACCACATGTCGAAAATAATATTTCTAGTATTGATATTGTCGTAGACGTTAATCGCCGCCAAGGCCGATAAACGTAATTTTAGATGTCATCCAACACCAAATCAAAGTCAATGTCGCCGCCAAAGGTCAAGGTCGATAAACGTAATTTTAGACGTCATCCAGCACCAAATCAAAGTCTATGTTGCTGGTGGGCAGGGCTATATATTGCCTGACAATCCATTATATACATGTATGTTGTACTTGTATGTGTGTGGGGAATGTGTTATGTGCGTGGCTCGTGGCTTTTGTCTTGTGTCTTGTGTCAAAGGTGGAAAATGCGTTAGAGTAGATCGTCTTTCTTCTATCACTAATTGCGAAATTAAGAAGTCCGGTGAACGATCTCACGTACACAGAGGATCTAATACTTTTTCACTAGAATATTCAGAATATGTGTATACATATTTTTTTTTAAAATATCTGGTAATAATATTTTTCACAGTATTGTCCTAGGTCTGTTTGCTAGACTCTGGTGACGAAATCAGAAAACATATTCAGTTCAAGACCGGAAGATCCAGGTTAGAATTGGTCTTCAGTAACCCGTGCTTGTCGTAAGAGGCGACTAACAGGATCGGGTGGTCAGGTTCGCTTATTTGGTTAACACATGTCATCGTATCCCAATTGGGTAGTCGATATTCATGCTGTTGGTTACTGGATTGTCTGGTCCAGACTCGATTATTTACAGATTGCCGCCACATAGCTGGATTATTGCTGAGTGCGGCATTAAACAATAAACAAAACAAACAAACAAACAAACCCCTTAGCAATTTAGCATAGTTAATAGGGATCGAAAAGTGAAATATGTAGTTGTGAATTGTAGGGGGTTTAAGCTGCGTCAAGTGACAGTTTTGATATTTTGGTATTACACGACCAGGAATCGAAAGACTGACCTCCCGCCCTCAAAGCAGACACTCCATCCACTAGACTATGCAATGAGTTAAAAACGAGTAAAGTTTCTCTCCCTCAAAATAAACCATCTCTAAGCAATTATAACTTAATACCAAATATGGAAATTTGCGCTTACGCTCACCTATGTTCTAGTTAATGTATGTTGCGAGGCTACGGTATAGTAAACGTAATGTACGTCCTGTCAAGTGGTCAATGTTAAAAACTGTATCTGTCCGTTGCTTACAAACCTGGGTCTATTACTGCTTACTCCTGCAATAAATAAACATCAATGTGTACACTGTATTGAAGACCAGAATTTGTTTTGTGTGCGTTCCAGTATTTGTTTTGTTCCATCTGTTTGTGTTGGATACCATGTACTGTACACTTGCTTTAATACGGGGGAAGAGGATTTTTCAAGGTCGCTTTAATCCTATAACTTGATAACCACCTATTTAAGCTTTGGGATACGCCAAAGATATCCGGGTCACGTTGACCTAGATTGTCCGATATTTCCCACCTGTTCACACAGTCAGGTGTGTTTCAGTGGACTCAACGAGCTTCCCCTACCACCACAGTCATGACCACCGCCGTGGTAACGCCGCATGCTGATGACGTTGACGTTGATTCTTAATTTCAAATTTATTTGCTCCAGTTTACAGTTAGGCCGTATTTTTTCATGCTTGGTTTATTAAATTTGTACTAAAACTGTAAAATACATCTTTCATATGAATATATGGTAATGGAATAAGATAAAAATTAATTAATATAACATGACTATACACGGCAAGAAGAATATAAATTTTAAATTTGTGATTTTTTCGACACATCCGTGAACCAAGTACTGAAGAGTATGCCTCAAATCGTTTGAGTTATTATTCATATGAATTCATGTTTTTCTCTTTTCTGCATTGAGCAATTTCAACATCAAAAATATGTTTTCGATCATTGAAAGGTCGAATGGAGAATTTACATTAATAGCAAACGAATGCGTTCCCTTGCAATTAATCTGCTTGCTATAATGCTGTTGCGTTTAGAATTGGAGGCATTGAATTGGTTTGCCTTGAGGCTATTTGATCATGTATGTGATATGTGCAGATCAGTTTGTGCTATGATCTTTGATACTGCAAATATTTTGTTTTGTGTTTCAAGATCTATGAGTAGCTTACCTACTTGTGTCTAAGTATGCTTCCGCGGCTTTTCAGTTTATATTTTACTAAAATTTAAGCTTATACTGTTTGTTTGGGATTTTTTTCTATTCTGTACGTAGTACTAAATGGGACATACAATTAAATATTCATATGCGTAATATCAAATAGACGTCTTTACATCAGATATACACTTATAATGTATATATTTTCTAACGATATTATATTTGTTTTGAAGCAATGTAATATGAAGGATAAGACATACATTCACCCTCACTATTTAAGCTCCTTATCAAGTGACTTTGTATCAGCGAATAGATATATAACATTGCTATGAATTTTCTTTACAGGGATGAAGACTGAAAAAACGCACCTCCCAAGCTACTTCAGATATTACTTCAGATAACCTCACGTGATGACGTGTCAGGATGAAGTAACCTCGCATGTCATTGGTCGAAAAATCTTCAGAGCACCAATCGCAGTTGAAGTTGCTTGGGCGCGTCATTTGAAAATGACGTCTCTACTAATTTCAAAGACACGCGAAGTTCCAGGCATATCCTGTACTAATTCTAATTCCAAACAATGTTCAGATTCTGTGTATATTTGGCACTACACTCAAGTGCCGTTTTTCATTGTTAATCTTTAAGGTGCTATGTATGTTCGGACAGTATTAGATAGTGTATTGCCTCAATATTTAGCTTATCAGGACGTAGATCTGTGAACATTATGCTTGAGCTGTTAATATGTATATAAGAACTTCAGTCCACGTGTATGTTTCGTGTTATTACATGTACTTTGATTTGCCTCCCAAAATATGAAAGCGGGTCGTTCAGTCTACGGCGCCGCAACTCGCTTACAGAGTTACCTCCCTTCGCCGTGGTCTTGGCGTTTAATATCAGATTCGCCTAAATTGTAATCCTTGATTTGTAAACGCAGTACACGTGTTTGTGGTATACGTCTATAGTCTGTGTCTGTTTGGGGCTTTACTTTAACATAAACTGGTATATTGTGATACAACCGAAACACTTATCAAAGGAGGCGATTGGGTAGCCTTGTGATTAATGCTTTCCCTCGTCACGCCGAAGACCCGGGTTTGAATCCCCACATGGTTACAATGTGTGAAGCCTGTTTCTGATGTCCCCCGCCGTGATATTGCTGGAATATTGCTAAAAACGGCGTACGGTAAACTTAAAGATGCTCAGTCAGTTATTCCCATTCAGCTCGTGAACAAATTGCAAGTTAACACAATTCTCGAAACAGTTTGATTACACGTCCAAATACCATCTCCACTGTTTGAAACTCAAGTTTACCGTATCACTCAAGCAGTTTATTAATATCTCAACAAAAGCCTCATCTTGTAGATGAAGGCGCCGCGATTCACTTGCGTCCCGTGTTTTTTATCGTGAGTTCGAATCCCGGAGTCTGTCGGTCTTTGTTTCTGGATTCATCACGACTGTACCAGTACTCGGGGGCATCTTAGAGTGCATCACATGGACTTTCCTCCGAGATGCTGTTCAAGGCGGCGTTAAACCACACTGGCTTGCTCTAGTGTACCACAGAGACAATGCACCAGGTCCACACAATTAGTTCAACCAACCCGGGGCGGCGGGGTAGCCTAGTGGTTAAAGCGTTCACTCGTCACGCCGAAGACCCGGTTTCTATTCCCCACACGGGTACAATGTGTGAAGCCAATTTCTGGTGTCCCCCGCCGTGATATTGCTGGAAGATTGCCAGCGGCGTAAAACCATACTCACCCACTTAATCATTCAACCGAACTGGTAATGAGCAAACCACGTTGGTACATAGTACCTTTTCGAAAGTCTACCTGTGTAACCAAGCGTTAGTGTTATAGTTGTTATTGTTGTGTTATAAATGCGTGTATTCCTATGTCTTTGTACAATAATCATAATGCTATGCATCTGTCTTCTATGTCATTCCCGTTGAATCATCCATACTTTAAATACCATATTTCCTCTCATAAGCGCCGGATCTCTAATAAGCGCCGGGGGTCAAGCAGCTCACTAACAATTACGGTAATTAGACCCAGTGAGCGCCGGGCCTCTAGTAAGCGCCGGGTCTGGAACTCCATTGAAAAAATAAGCATCCAGGCGCTTATTAGACGATATACGGTACATCTGGTCGTCGCAGCAACAATGATAACCCAGCAGCAGTTGGTGAACTACTTGGTGGTGATCCTCCATGTCTTGTTTTGTATAATGTCAGGGAATCTGTGGTGTTCTATTCGCATAATGATTTTACTCTTTGTCAGTTTTGATGCACTTTCAATTAAGTTACTGGTGCTGAACATTTGCATGTTGATCTAGAACGTAGGAACGCCGATTACGTTGACAAAAATGGCATTTTAAGATTCATTGTAAGTTCTTCTCAGATTGGTTTTCGTTCTCAGATTGATACTTATAGCTCTAGAGTTGTTTGATGCACCTTCCATCAAATTCGACCTTTGAAAATAAGTCGTAATAAAACATACCAGTATAAGCGATCTAGGGAACATTTGGTTTGGACGGTAATATATCTGCTGAAAACGATCTGGAGAACTATTTCAAAATATCGGTATGTTTGATTTTCTGTTTTATGGTCTTTTTAAACTGTGATATAACTGATTCAACCTCTCAAACGTACAAATATCAATTTGAAATATTTTATATTCCTGTGCCTTGTCCCTTTCTCAAAATTATTACAAAAATCTGCATAGGTAAAACGGCAACATCGTTACTGTGTTAGACATTTGGTTTTTTAAAAAAGGAAGCTATTGTGCTGATTCGCTTAATGGTACACAGCCTTAGTCATTGTTTTTACATGTTAGAAAACATCATATTTTTGTTAGAAGAATTAGGAGTCTAATAAGTCGTTATTTCTTGAAACCCAGTGTGTATATTTGCATTCACACACTTGTAAATGGATTAAAATTTATTAATTTATATATGTGATTAAATTTTATCTTTATCTGTGGCGTCTCGGGTTTATATTCTGGTCTGCAATTAGCGGGTCCCCATTCTCCTCCCACAGAGGTTACTTGTCATATCTTGCTACGTATCTCTGTTCTAATACGGCCATATTTCCCAGTTCTCGTAAAATCCCCTAGCGGCAAAAAATCGCATCACGAATTATCTCCCTTCTTGTTATCCAATCAGAACACGTTTTACATCGACTTAGATCCAACTTGACTAATGCAAGCAAATGCAGGGCCAAAAATATCCATCCTCTACCGGGGATTTGTGTTGATGTGACACACAAGGCATTTAATAGCTAACTTGTCCGTTGTCAACGAGGGCGATGGAGACGCCATTGATCCGCTATTACATGACAGAGTTCCGTCCACAAGAAACGATTGCGCATCGCGCAGGGGAAGAGGTTCTAGTTTTCCCGAAGCATACGGAAATTACCGAGACCTTGCGAATGATCACTTTTGAAACAACGTCACTGTTTGCACAGCTAAATCCGATTGCAGCCAATCACAAATCCTGCACACTCGCACCATGAAAGGGCCGTATTAGAACAGAGGTTCATAGGAAGATATGACTTGAGTAACCTCTGTGGGAAGAGAATGGCGGGTCCCAGGCCTCTGAACTAATGATCCACATTTCAGTGACTCCATCAACACATCTTTATGAAGATATACTTAAAGAATCCAAACCAGAATTGTGGTTGAATGATATCAGGACTGAAGACGAAACAAACTACGTCAGCACCATCCACACGTCAAACTAAAATAACACTAAAGGATTCATCAAGTCTGTCATACAGACCCTGAAACAAATATATCCAAGAAATCCCATGTAAGTCTACAATTCTAAAGTCTCCGGGCTCCTTTTCATTCTATTTTATGATTATTTTTTATAAACAGTTTTATAAACAGTTTTCTGCAAAATATGTTCATTTCAGAGACTAGATGTTAGTCTAGGATTCATCCAATGCATTGACATTAAATAAAATGCTCTTGATATCTAAACGCTTAGGGACCGACCACTGGATTGTACAGACTATCTGGCTCTGCCCTCCCATCCTCGAGCCCAAATTTTGTTTTCAGGTATAAATCGCATTTCAGGCGGTAGCTCGTCATAATGAAAATCCATTTTCATCTGTCTTTCCTGAACGATATCAAGATTTGCATTATGGTATGCCTTATAGATGAGCGTGGAACCTTATTAATTGTTCAGTATGCTATCATGCATGACATACACATATCCGACACAAGGTAGCTTGCCATGGCTTATTGCTATGGTAATGTGTTATCACAATTTAGAAATTTATCCCCCAACGACTGAAATATTGACAAATCTACATTTTACCACATTTCGAGTTCATTATAAAGTTTCATTCCAATATATTACATCTCTTTTTTATGTTACCGACGAAGCGGGGCAGTCTGTAGGCAGATATAATGTGTCCGGATCGATCACAGTTGGCGAGAAGGGGGATAACTCTCGGCTTTTTGGGGCGGCATCATTTCCTGTTCGGACTGCATCAGCTAATAATCAGGGTTATTACCCACGTGGTCAACGTATGGGTAGTTGCATATTAATCTCGTACGTCACACGAGTGTCGTATCGCGTTGACCTGTGTCGTAACGACTTGACCTGAAATTCTAACGATTTGATTGGATAACCGATGACCTCTCAATTAGGTCACATTCTGACGTAACTATTTTTTCATTCATAACAAACACGTGAATTCATTCATTCTACAACTTAAATGCATTGTGGGAATGTAAACATTGCGATCGTTGCCGTGTCGCTGTTTAATTGTGAGTCGAACTGAGACATTATATCCGTCGAAAAACATAAACGCAATGTTTCCGCCAGTGATGTTAGCCGAATGAAGCAACTGGAAGCCAAGAAACGAGGTGCAACGGAGTAGTTTACTGTAGGAGGCTGTACGAGGCGATGACAACTGACATGCATCGTGACGTCGGTTACCATGGCAGTGACGTCATTACAGTGTGACGTCATGCAAATATTGTACTACAGTACAAAATCTTCCGCAACCTCTTTATAGAACCGGTTTCGGTTTGAAACCAAAAACATAACAAAAATACGCTATTTTGTCAATTTAAATGCATGTAAGACGTGGGTAATAAATAAAATACCACACTCGGTCTCATTACATACGAATTATACGAAACTCGTGACCTTCCTATGTTATCTGACCTCGCTTTCGCTCGGTCAGATACCATAGGAAGGACACTCGTTTCGTATACTAGTAATTCGTATGTAATGAGACCTCGTGTAGTATTCTCTATATAGACCATTCTTAGCCAATATGCATGACCTCGAGGTCAAATCGAAAGCGAGGCTTAAATAGGTTGACCCAAACTTGAAAATGGCGACCTCGGAAAGGAGAGATTACTGCTGTGTGCCTTTGCGTTGGAGTGATGCCTGTAAGGATTTTACGGTATCTTTTCACCATATTCCCAAGAATAAGATCAGAAGAAGGCAGTGGTTGACGAAAATACGGAGAGATCCTCGAAAATGATTCATAGTAAGTACAACATAATTACGGCACATGGCATAGTCTAGATCTGCCGTGTAATGTACAAACTGTTCACTATGCAAGGTTTTAATATTAGGGGCACATGTACAATGTGAATGTCACACACACAGAGACACATTCAAACCCCACCCCCACCCCACCCAACCAGACATTGTCATGTTCAAAATCAGTGACCACCCCCCTAGTTCACATGTACATAATTTGCCCCTCCCCCTGCCTCCTAAAACAATCTGGGAGACACCCCAACCCCAACAAACACCGCACCTAAAATCATCATCACCCCCCTAGTCATAAATTATGAACGGTCCAATATATTAAAAAATTTAAGCATATGGACATGTGCAGACACTCTTGTCATGATGGCAAGGGAATTTTATTTGCAAATGTTCTCTGTATCAGTGAAATTAGATTGGCTGCAAATCAAAGTAACATTTCAAGTACATATATATGCAGGACATACACATGCTGTTAAAAAATCTTAAATGTGTATCTACTTTCAAAATTACTCTATACTGACCAGTACTTCAGGGATACAGGACATATTACTGGACAATCTAATTACACCAACTGAAATATATTTAGTGTTTAAATATCCATTTCAGATGCTGCTAATTAAGAGTCAGAGAGCATGTCACCAGCTCACGAACCTCCCATAAGGAATCTACCACAGTCACCATCTCAGATACAGTAAGAATGTCAGATCGTATTAAGTTAATTTTGCCAACTGACATGGTTTTAAAGAATTTAATACAACTGAACTTTGACCTATATGCTATGTTATTTACATATAAAAATATTGATTGCCCATACTGTCTAAAATATGAAATGATGTTAGCAACTATTCCTTGATGTATATTTGTAATTCCAGAGATATATTTATTGTTTGTGTGGTCGAAGAGATAATAGTGATGCTTTACAATGCTTATATTACAGTGAAGCAGAGAGTGATACAGCAGCCACTGACCCCAGTCCCACATAGAACAACTCCAGCAAAACTTACATGAACAGGGGAGGCAACTCAAGGAAAAGGTTGACAAAATAGAAGAATTGAACAGAAAACTTGAACTTGAAAAGTTTGGAGTTTGTAAATTCATGTATGATGATAAACATTGATTTAACCTTTTACGGTATTCCATCATTTCAAACATTGGCACTGATTAGCTGGAACTTTTTCATTTGTTGAATATCTTCCCAGGTTTTGTGAAGTACCTTGCCCAAACAGCACAATTTGACAGACATGAATGTAAATAAAATTGTTTGGTGCTTTTGTGTTGTGTAAATGATGGATGAAAAAAGAGACAGCTGCAATACATTCACATTGATGGATTTAACTGAAAAATAGAAAGGTCTTTCATAATGGCATAGTTGTAGATGTAACTCATTTGCTGCTGTTTAATTAATAATTGATGAAAAAGAATGTATTTCATCCTGTTTGAAAAGAGTTAGTTGGGAATCAGAAAAAAACCCATCATTCATAGGTAAGAGATTATGATAATGTGTAGGGGGTGAAAACTATGACAAATTATGCATTGATCCAGCTGTAATTGTTGCCATTCATGTCAGACTAATCTAAAAGGATACTTCTATCAACATAAATATTGCACCCAATATATTTTCAATTTGCATCCTCTGAAAATTTTATTGTTATTCATCAGTATTACAGTTGGAAGCTATTGTGAATGTGGTTATTGTCAATTTAGGTAAATTAATTATTCACCTCCAAATCAGTCAAGAAAGAACTTCAAAAAAAATCATCCAGTTTTGTCTTGCACATTGTGTCCCACCAGAGACCATATAAAAGATATGGTCTCTGGTCCCACTCATGTTGATTGAAATAAATAGTTTCTACATGATGATGTGGCGATTCGTTTTTCCTCTGCGATTGTAACATGCAGCTACGCACACATCCCCCATCACCACTAGTCCTGTACAACTGAAAATAAATGCGTGAATAAATACCCTATATCTATAAAACAGAGTCGATAGGACAAAACATTTTAAACAGAAAAAATACCAAACAAATAATTTCATCACAGGAATAATACAAAAAAATTGTCTGGTCCAGATCCACTCGAGGAGAGCTATCTTGATCCTACTTATAATCTCGATTATCTAGCTCAAGAATTAACAACACTACTCCCATGTGGAAGTGGATGATTTGAATCCAGGTCAGGAAATACGTTGAGTCCTTTGCTTTGTTCATATGTTGATAAAGTAAACGTAATTGATTTCCCTTGGTAATATATCCACTATTGTGACTTTAGAGTAGCTTCCCTTCATAAATGCTGCGCAACATGGTAAACGTTACCTAGATATCTAGGTCATATGACTTATCGTGATGTGTCGTGATGTACAGTCATTATTCACCCTTCAATCCGTGGATATGCTACAGAAACATTTGTGTAGCCCTTTCCCATTTCCCTGCGATTTCCCTGAACTACTGGACAGTTTCGTAATGTACCGTTCAAGGGAAATTTGAAACCAGGAAGTATACATTGAGTTTAGTCGCCATTACGCGATTGTGTCCTTGCCCCGTTTAGCCTCGTTTTGGTACAGATATGAATATTCATGAGGCCTCATTAAGAATGGTCTATACGGGATACAACTTTCGCATTGTAGCTGAATATGACGTCACCCATTGTGATGACGTCACAGAAGGTTTTAAGGAACGTTCCAACAATATAAGCAAATGTGACGTCAAGTAAAGAATTCAGTACTGGCGTCATATTTCACAACACTACTTTATTGTAAATAGAGAATCTCACCCAAGTGTCTTCTGATATTAATTATATCATCACGAGTTGATAAAGTTACAAATATCCGAGGCTTGCCGAGGATATTTTTACTTTATCAACGAGTGTTGATATATTTGATATCAGAAGACACGAGGGTGAGATTCTATTTATCATCCAAAATCACTCTTCATTAATTTTCAATGAAAAATGTACATCTCTGAACATGGTACTGCCATTAGACTTGCAGTGCAGCGATGTCATAGCATTGTGACGTCATCAAGTACATGACGTCATAGCATTGTCAGGGCATTGTACAAAATCTACTGTCAAAACGATATCTCCTAGGAGATATCGTTTGATCTCACACAAGCGATATCTCCTGTGGAACACAGTTTTGGATGATAAACCGACATCTTTCTATATTTCCTCAAAGACCAAGACAGTGGTAATTGAATATTGTTATATAATCTACTTGGAATTTAACATTATATACTTCCCGTCAAAAGTTTAGACTCACTTAAAGCACTCACTATACATCGAAGATGAATTTCTCCACTACCTTTGGGGAACCAACTGCAAACTTTATGCAGATGAATTTCATGAGGGTCAAGCATCAAATTGCTGAAAAGCATGTGCAAACATCGTGCAGAAAAACAGCTGCGTTTTGGTGTAAAGTTTTGATAAGAATTCGCCAATTTTCACTGAGTTTTATCATTTCTTGAACTCATGACAATAAACTTTTCAACTGTACGAATTTGTTTTACAATACATCAGTTCATGTGTAAACAGTACCTTTAAACAGTATGGAATATTTTGCAAAATTTAGTTTAGAACAGCTGCCTGATGTAAGTGGCTAGATTTACACTAGTGAGTCTTAACTTTTGATGGGTAGTATAGATTCATTCTGGCAATTATGAACTGAGGCTCGGGATTTACACGTTAATGTACTCGAGAATTAATCTGAAATTACTCGCACCAAGAACAGGTTCTGACTATCCTAGCAAGCACTGAATATGCCTGAGTGGACAATTTATGTCTGTTGTGGCCACGTGACAGGAGATATTTCTCGTGTGCCAAGCCTAAAGTGCAATGAAACTTTGTCACTCCAGACAGTGGTGCCTGAAATCATGGACCCCTGGCAAGTTGGAGATATTCGGACGATAGGTTGTCGTGACCGACGGAATTTATTGTTTACCTGTCTTGCTGCAGAAAACGATCCTTTCCCCCAGGTCATCGTAACTCTTACGACTTACGACTGTCGTAGCGCTAAGGTTGCTTTGTACAACGGATTCCAAAACGGTGTGACATTTTTAAATCAAACTTATGAATCACTAAAAACAGACAACAGGTATGATAATTTATTAAAAAATACACAATTTAACCCGTTTGTATAGTATGTATATATAAACATATTTCACTGTGTTTAAATGGTTTCTGGTTCACGAAAACGTTAGACATCAAAGTATAAATGTTACATGATACATTTTTAGTAGGAAAAAAATAAATCCTAAAACCTATACATAACATAATAGAAATATTTTATGAAAATGTGCCTACAAAATATGGAGGTAAATATGACGTTTCTAGTTTTCAAGTCCATCTATGAAATACTTTTATAACGGTATAAAATAAATTGCCTCCTCCAATAACCCCATCAATCTACATCACATAATCAAAGATGGTGATAGTCCCCTCAGACTCCCCCAACCATAGCCTCCCGGACCCGTCAAAACTGAGGGCCCGGGGATTAACGCCTCTCGTCAGTTCCTGAATGAATACGCCCATGGGAGACAGAAGCACGACAGAGTTATTTCCCTTGTCAGCGACAAGGACGTTGCCCTCCGCGTCGCAGCATAGGCCTTCTGGACAGAAGCTGCAACGTTGAGTAGGGAAAGTATTCAGGAGGTTCCCTGCTATGTCGAAGAAAAATACGGCCTTGCGTTTTGGGTCAGAGACGACGAAGACCTCAGCGTCGCCATCTTGAGTGACTACGACGCTAGAGGGCGCTTTCAGAATGTGAAGGTCGCCATTTGCGTACACACAGCGAATTTGTTTCGTCTCCAGGCTGAAATGAATGGAAGAATGATGTGTTACATGAATTAAGGAACATGAGATAATTGTTTTCGAATATTATTCCCACGTCTCCGGAGTCATTCCGGAGTTAAATGTAACTTTTAGTTTGGCAGAAAAAAGGGTATTAGTTATATTGAAAATCCCCTAGGTGTCCCGTTGGTTACATTTTCGGTGTTTGTGAAATAGTTGTCAGTAATGTCAAATTTTAAGATTTAATATGTAATTAACAGAATAATTCACGTACCGTAAGTCCAGGTTCCAAATAACGGGTAATATGAATTTTCAATATGGCGCTGTTGTAGCGGCTATGTTTGAGATATTCGTTAGTAGCGTTTCAGGGGAGTTGTCAAAAATATACTGAGAGAAACCAATAAAGGATCACAGGTAATGCACGTGTTCCTTTAATATTTTCCAGTTTTTATCACCAGCTTTGAATAGCGCTGTTGGAGGAAATCTGAGAATAAATAAAGGATCACTGCCATGAAGTTGCGTTCCTTTTTTTGTTTCCTTCAGTATATATAAAAAAAGCTCTATGTACCTGTATCTGTATATTCCCGTTCCAATGCCCGCCTTCTCCTTGCCACAGACGATTAGTTCACGGGGGTTCCTGACAGCTAGGCCTGTGGGGATAATGGGCAGTTCGCTGGTGCGATACGAGATGGGACTGAACTGCGGCAGTCGTCTCTGGCTCAGTTGTCGCGGGGTGGACGTGCACAACGCCAGGTTGGTTTGGCCCAGAAGTAGTGCGCAGGTTGTGTTTGGCACGGCATCGAAGGTCTGGATCTTGTTCCCGCACTCGTCCACGACGTCCAGATGTCGAGGACTCGAATCGTATCCGATCACAGCTCCTGTGCCAGGAACTGGGACTATGAACCTAATGCCTGCGTTGTTGGGTCTTACTTTAAACACGGCTCGCTGTATCAGAACGGGTCTCCCGGCCGATGCGTTGAACTGATCAAGAACAGGTTGCTGGACATCCTCCTCAGGCTGTACAGTGATGAGGCCAGAGGTTGTAGGATGGTCCAGGACAGCCTCCCTATCATCTCCCCCGCTCAAATCCTTCTCCGTGCTGAGATAACCTAAAGCATTCTCAATCTTTTGAGACAAGCCATCGGGATTTTTACGATCGTAGACAACGCTGACTTTGTCTATGAATCCTGGGATGCTTCTCACAGTGTCGTCTGCTTTCTCCTGAAGGTGAGTCTTGTTTGCTAGAAGGTCAAGGACGCCAGATCCCTTCATCATGTGTTCTAGTCCCTGGGTTACCTCCCCCTAGACCGCTCACGCAGGATCGCACTTGGAGTTCGTGAGATTCCACCTTGCTGGTCTCGGTCACCTTCAGGTGGTCCAGCAGTACCAGCAGTGACTCGCATCTGCAACAAATCAGATATGTTGACCGCTAACACGCATTGGGAACTGGACATTTATGATAGGGAGGGAGTATGGTGAGGGAGGTGTCATGAAATAATAACAATAATAATCCCACACCCACACCCACGCCCACACCCACAAGCACACCCTCACGCAGAACCACGCTCACGCCCACACCCGCACCCACAAGCACACCCACACCCACACCCACAAGCACATCCTCACGCAGAACCACGCTCACGCTCACGCCCACACCCGCACCCCACCCACACCCACTCCTACATCCACAAAAAAATGCCTCTCCCTTACTCAGACAGATTTTGCATATGACAATGATAGGGTTCCCCTATCACTGGAAAATGCATTGTCAAAATAACTCTTCTTAAAAACACCATATACCTTTTACAACGTGATTTTATATGAAGTCATAAGCATGTGTGTACTTGAATTAGATTTATAAAGAGCCTCAGTGGATACGTTACAGGCTACCTGTATATACGTGGATACATTCTGATTAATCTGACACACAGAACCGGAAACAATGTATCAGATACAGTCACTGCACGTGTATATTAGATTTTTCAGAGCTCTCGATTGGTTCGTGTGTTGTTTAATGCCGCACTCAGCAATATTCCACTTATATGGTGGCAGTCCGTAAATAATCGAGTCTGGGCCAGACAGTCTAGTGATCAACAGCATGAGCATCGATCTACGCAACTGGGATATGATGACCTGTGTCAACCATGTCAGCAAGCCTGACCAAACAATCCCGTTTGTCGCATCTCACGACAAGCATGATTGTGTTGCTGAAGACCAATAATTCTAACCCGGATCTTCACTGGGTCTTTTTTTCAGGGAGAATCACGACTGCTTTTTGTTCTATAGTATTAGCAGGAATAATTTAACTATAACTTTTCATTCCCATTGTCACATCAGAGACTAGTGTGTATCCTGGAAGGATTAACTCTAACAAAGGTATTACCTGCTGTCAACCTTGTGCTTGATGTCTTCAGCGCACGTCTTGATCTGGTTGCTGACGGAGTTAACCTGGGAACAGAAGCTGTCCATGTAGCTGCGCCTGTCCTCTCCCTGCTCTCTGAGGACCTTCTGGTAGCGCTTCACCTTGGCATCAAGCGTGTTGAGCTGTCGCTGAGCTTCGCCCACAACCACCGCCAAACTCTCCCACTCGTGGCCCGAATGTTCGTGCATCTTGCACTGCACACAGATGGGCACCCTACACCTCTTGCAGTACGACACCACCCACTCCTTTTTATATGCGTGGGTGGGGCAGTACAAGTCTTTGTAGGATATGGAGCTCGTGGACGGTTTTTCTCCAGAACTGCTGACGTCTGTCCCAGAGTTGCCGCCATTTTTCGCATTTTCTACCTTGACCATTGATTCCTGTTTTATGAGATCGGTGAACTCTTGGATGTAGAAGTTTCCTTGGAAGTGGTCGACCCCACCCTCGGGGAGGCGGATCTCGGTGCGACAGAGTGGGCAGGGAAAGCGCTGCATCTTCACTGTGTTGAGAACATGACTCCACAGACAACCCTTGCAGAAAGTGTGGAAGCAAGGGAGGATCTTCGGGTCGCTGAACAGCTCGAGACATATGGTGCACGTGAGCACGCGGTCCTTCAGGCGATACTTGGACAGGTCAATGTTGCGGTCAAGGACTGCTGACATGTTTGGAGGTGTCGTTTTTTCTCAGTTAAGATGTGGAGAGGAATTTCTTGAAATGTTTCAACTTTGAATTTTGAGTATGTCTTGGTGTGTGTTTTTTCACTTTTACTCTGAAAGATGAAAAGAATCCATAGCGTGTGGCTATATTAATAAACGTGGCGGATAATTTTCGGTAAAATCCATGCGTATCAAGAAATATCGCTTAAGGGTGAGTATGTCGGGTCTTACACCGCTTTTAGCAATATCCCAGCAATATCACGGTGGGGACACCAGAAATAGGCTTCACATATTGTGCCCATGTTGGGAATCGGACAGGGGGCTTCGGCTTGACGAGCGAACGCTTTAACCACTAGGCTACCCCGCCTCGTATTGTTTTAAGAGAGAAGGCAGCGGTCTCTTTACGGAAACACGGGCCACCCAAATACTGCAGTAGACCCAGACATGTAAATGAATACAGCACGTCAGTTATATGGTAGAAGGAATCGGTCCCTATGCCTGTTCGCCGACGGTAATTCGAGGAATTTTGGGCGTAATGGTACAGGTTGTATGTTTGGATAGACGAATATAGGTACAGACCCCTGCAAAAAGTATTCGGACACTTGACGTAATTTCCATAGACTTACATGTTATTAGTAAGTGCGTTTAGGGTGGATCTTTGTCAAATTTGACAGGCACATTTGAAATCATCTCTGCTCTGCACACATAATTTCAGTTCAATGTTCCGACCACTATTTAACTAATGACACATTTATCGACTTACGTATGTTTCCACAATGCACAAACCCATAGGCCGCCATGTTAAAGGAGTTCACAGCACTGTACACATGTTGATTAAATTGTAGCCATTCGATAAATAAGCAACGGAAAATTAAACAGAAATTATGTGATTGTAGGTAAGATGATTCCACACAAATGTGCAAAATTTGACTTTGATCTTACGAACATTAAATCCATGAAAATTATTTATGTTACACTGAATTAACATGTAAGTCTATGGAAATTACGTCAAGTGTCCGAATACTTTTTGCACGACTCTGTATATCCAAGCTTCAGACACATCGTAACCTCCGAACAAAATCCGGCGCACAAGATACGGAATGTTCCAAATAATGTGGACGATCCAAAGTAACAGTGCCAGACAATGTCACGGTGGATTCCTGGGGAAAACGAAGTTCCGGTTCCTATTCCTATTTAAACAGAAAACACAAATTGATAATTCAAATACCTGTATCTTCTGAAAGAACAGCATGAAACCACTCGCTCCCCGTCTCTCCATCAACTGCTTGTGTTGACAACAAACTCGTAGTCAGCGAATAACGTCATAATGGCGTGACGTCATAAAGGCTTTTCTTCGCATTGGTTTTACGTCATAATATATATAAGCTGGTTCCCGGTTCCCTTTGCGAGCGCCAACTTGCGATATGCGAGACGGGGCCCAGCTAACGTCATATGTAGGCGTGGAGTACTCATGTTTGGATATTTCACGTTGGTCAATGTCTCATTCGTCGCGAACTCATGTTATTCCGGAATATGCTAACTCTGATTACGGAATGGGGCCCATGTGACCCGACTAAAACTAATTTTGCATTGTGCCATTTGCCCAAGATGCACGGTGAGGCTAATCAGTTTTCTAGCTTCTTCATTCTGGCACAAATAGAATTATTTCGACCATCGTTGGGCTGTTCTCAGTCACCTCAATATGTGTAGTGGGATAAACCGAACACAATGATGGTGGTCGAAAGGATCCAAGCGAAGCGCCCAGGTTGAACACACTGACGCGCTCGTAAAATCCAGCTCGTAGCTCGATATCGGTCGTTGCCATTTTACTGGCGATTAAGAGCATAAGATTCGACATCACTAGCATCCTCATGAGATGTCGATATTACAGGTTACCTTTCCTGGATCAGGTTGGGAAATATAATGGCGAGTGATACAAAGGTTGTAAAGAAAGATATAATATTTCTGAACAAATTGGCTTTGGTTTGTTGGTTAACACAGCACTCAGCAATATTCCAGCTATGTTTTAAGAGAGAAGGCAGCGGCAGTCTGTAAATAACTTAGTCTGGACCAGACAATCCAATGATTGACATCATGAGCATCGTTCTTCGCAATTGGGATACGATGACATCTGTCAACCAAGTCAGTGATCCACCCGATCCCGTTAGTCGACTCTTACGACAAGCATGGGTTACTGAAGGTCAATATTAATCCAGATTCTGAACAAATAATTACCAGTGTTTTGAGCGGAGGCTTTGAGGTTGCTTGCAAATTATGTCAGCTACTCAATTCGGTTTCTGCTTTGTACGGAATGGGTATACTGTTCTGGATGAAATCTTCGAGAAACGTTGATGTTATTTTACCAAACAATCGACACGTATTTGTTATCAAAAGTTTTCTACGTTCATCATTACTTTTCTGTCGTGAAGTGTTCAGTTTTTATTTTGCAGTTAAGTGTATATATAAACATACACTTTTACACTTATTTGTCATTTACTGCTTGCAGGCAGATAAAACAGTATTGTGGAGCGCAACAGTACAGTGGTAAGGCGTCTGTCTATCAGGCCGAAGGCCGGGGTTCGATCCCGGTGGAGGCACCTAGGTTCGGTCCGAGGTAGGCACATTTGCGTAGTATTCTAGGACAAGATACTCAGATCCACATTGTCTCAGTTCACCCAGCTACAAAATGGGTACCCGTGAGGATGTGCTGGCAGTTTTGGTGATTAGTTCATTGCGCCTAACAGGCAGCATGGTTGTATGTTCTCCAGGGAGTTGAAAAATTATCAAAAAGTATGATGGTGTCCTATGACGGGGGATAGTAATGTACGTAGCACTGCGAGCAGGTAATGTGCCTGGATATGAGTGCCACATAAGCGGGAAATTACTATTTACTACTCTTGTTCAGATATTCAAATAGTTTTGTTGTGGCATCATGAGGAGGCTAATAATTATGATGACAAGCTGAAGACACTGAAGTGTTCACCAATATTGTTGAGCTCACCCTTAACTGTAGACTATAATGCTTAGTCTCTGAATATGTATAGCTTGTCAACTTGATGTTAGACTAACGCTTAGTCTCTGAATATATTGAATTGTTGACAGAAACAAACAATTCCTTTTATATTGAAAAGGAGCCCCAGTGAGAAGGGAGATTCGACCTAAGGAAATCTAGACTTGCTTCATTTAGGGCTTCAGCATTGCAGGGAGGGCTAGGCAGAAGGGAAAGTAATGTGGTTCAGGGACTGTGAGACAGACTACCTAAACTGAACAATTTCCATTATAAATGTCACATCTTGGATAACTGAACCAGTACTTCGGAACTTGCACCTTTCAACAGTGGTAGACATGAAGCTTGGGTGCATTTCTGTCAACACCACTGTACCTGGCTGTTAAACGACCCAAACAGGATATTTGTTGCCAGTGGCAACTAAACAGATTAGGTGGTGTGGCTTGGTGACCTGGTTGAATGTATGTCAGTGTAGCCTCTGGCTTGGTGACCTGGTTGAATGTATGTCAGTGTAGTCCCTGGCTTGGTGACCTGGTGAAATGTATGTCAGTGTAGCCTCTGGCTTGGTGAGCTGGTTGAATGAGTGTCAGTGTAGCCTCTGGCTTGGTGACCTGGTTGAATGTATGCCAGTGTAGCCTCTGGCTTGGTGACCTGGTTAAATGTATGTCAGTGTAGCCTCTGGCTTGGTGACCTGGTTGAATGTATGTCAGTGTAGCCTCTGGCTTGGTGGCATGGTTGAATGTATGTCAGTGTAGCCTCTGGCTTGGTGATCTGGTTGAATGTATGTCAATGTACTCTCTGGCTTGGTGATCTGGTTGAATGTATGTCAGTGTAGCCTCTGGCTTGGTGACCTGGTTGAATGTATGTCAGTGTAGCCTCTGGCTTGGTGATCTGGTTGAATGTATGTCAGTGTAGCCTCTGGCTTGGTGATCTGGTTGAATGTATGTCAGTGTAGCCTCTGGCTTGGTGATCCTGGTTGAATGTATGTCAGTGTATGGTTGAATATATGTCAGTGTAGCCTCTGGCTTGGTGATCCTGGTTGAATGTATGTCAGTGTAGCCTCTGGCTTGGTGGCATGGTTGAATATATGTCAGTGTAGCCTCTGGCTTGGTGATCTGGTTGAATGTATGTCAGTGTAGCCTCTGGCTTGGTGGCATGGTTGAATATATGTCAGTGTAGCCTCTGGCTTGGTGATCTGGTTGAATGTATGTCAGTGTAGCCTCTGGCTTGGTGGCATGGTTGAATATATGTCAGTGTAGCCTCTGGCTTGGTGATCTGGTTGAATGTATGTCAGTGTAGCCTCTGGCTTGGTGGCATGGTTGAATATATGTCAGTGTAGCCTCTGGCTTGGTGATCTGGTTGAATGTATGTCAGTGTAGCCTCTGGCTTGGTGGCATGGTTGAATATATGTCAGTGTAGCCTCTGGCTTGGTGATCTGGTTGAATGTATGTCAGTGTAGCCTCTGGCTTGGTGGCATGGTTGAATGTATGTCAGTGTAGCCTCTGGCTTGGTGATCTGGTTGAATATATGTCAGTGTACTCTCTGGCTTGGTGATCTGGTTGAATGTATGTCAGTGTAGCCTCTGGCTTGGTGATCTGGTTGAATGAATGTATGTCAGTTGAATGTATGTCAGTGTAGCCTGGCTTGGTGGCATGGTTGAATATATGTCAGTGTAGCCTCTGGCTTGGTGATCTGGTTGAATGTATGTCAGTGTAGCCTCTGGCTTGGTGATCTGGTTGAATGTATGTCAGTGTAGCCTCTGGCTTGGTGATCTGGTTGAATGTATGTCAGTGTAGCCTCTGGCTTGGTGATCTGGTTGAATGTATGTCAGTGTAGCCTCTGGCTTGGTGACCTGGTTGAATGTATGTCAGTGTAGCCTCTGGCTTGGTGATCTGGTTGAATGTATGTCAGTGTAGCCTCTGGCTTGGTGATCTGGTTGAATGTATGTCAGTGTAGCCTCTGGCTTGGTGATCTGGTTGAATGTATGTCAGTGTAGCCTCTGGCTTGGTGATCTGGTTGAATGTATGTCAGTGTAGCCTCTGGCTTGGTGATCTGGTTGAATGTATGTCAGTGTAGCCTCTGGCTTGGTGATCTGGTTGAATGTATGTCAGTGTAGCCTCTGGCTTGGTGATCTGGTTGAATGTATGTCAGTGTAGCCTCTGGCTTGGTGATCTGGTTGAATGTATGTCAGTGTAGCCTCTGGCTTGGTGGCATGGTTGAATATATGTCAGTGTAGCCTCTGGCTTGGTGATCTGGTTGAATGTATGTCAGTGTAGCCTCTGGCTTGGTGGCATGGTTGAATATATGTCAGTGTAGCCTCTGGCTTGGTGATCTGGTTGAATGTATGTCAGTGTACCTCTGGCTTGGTGGCATGGTTGAATATATGTCAGTGTAGCCTCTGGCTTGGTGATCTGGTTGAATGTATGTCAGTGTAGCCTCTGGCTTGGTGGCATGGTTGAATATATGTCAGTGTAGCCTCTGGCTTGCCTCTGGCTGGTTGAATATATGTCAGTGTACTCTCTGGCTTGGTGGCATGGTTGAATATATGTCAGTGTAGCCTCTGGCTTGGTGATCTGGTTGAATGTATGTCAGTGTAGCCTCTGGCTTGGTGGCATGGTTGAATGTATGTCAGTGTAGCCTCTGGCTTGGTGGCATGGTTGAATATATGTCAGTGTAGCCTCTGGCTTGGTGATCTGGTTGAATGTATGTCAGTGTACTCTCTGGCTTGGTGATCTGGTTGAATGTATGTCAGTGTAGCCTCTGGCTTGGTGATCTGGTTGAATGTATGTCAGTGTAGCCTCTGGCTTGGTGGTGAATGTATGTCAGTGGTTGAATGTATGTCAGTGTAGCCTCTGGCTTGGTGATCTGGTTGAATGTATGTCAGTGTAGCCTCTGGCTTGGTGATCTGGTTGAATGTATGTCAGTGTAGCCTCTGGCTTGGTGATCTGGTTGAATGTATGTCAGTGTAGCCTCTGGCTTGAATGATCTGGTTGAATGTATGTCAGTGTAGCCTCTGGCTTGGTGATCTGGTTGAATGTATGTCAGTGTAGCCTCTGGCTTGGTGATCTGGTTGAATGTATGTCAGTGTACTCTCTGGCTTGGTGATCTGGTTGAATGTATGTCAGTGTAGCCTCTGGCTTGGTGACCTGGTTGAATGTATGTCAGTGTACTCTCTGGCTTGGTGATCTGGTTGAATGTATGTCAGTGTAGCCTCTGGCTTGGTGATCTGGTTGAATGTATGTCAGTGTACTCTCTGGCTTGGTGATCTGGTTGAATGTATGTCAGTGTAGCCTCTGGCTTG